ACAAGCTTTGTTCTATAAAACATTCTCATGCCCTTTCAGGTGACCTCATGCTTTTGAGACCTCCTGGACTGTATTTTAAACACCTGGTGTCAGCTATCTTGGAGTTCTTTCACACGCAATAACTCTCAGAATTCACAACCTATATTTATTATTTTCTCAATTATAAATCTTTCCCCTCCCTCTTAATTTCCAGAAAGCCTCAATAATCACAGCAGGAGGGGAATGCTTTCATCTTGCATAACGCTTTACCTACCAACATTTATTTACCAGCGGACCACTTTTCCCTCGGTAATACCCTAACCTCGCTGCCTAATGATTAAACCCATATGCCTCTTTCTGGAGCCTGGGGAGCTTAATAATTAGGTCAGGGGAGTGGGAGGAAAAGTTGAGGAGTGGTTTGCTAGACCCCACTCCTACCCCTCACCCTACGCCTGCAATGCCATTCCCAGATTGATTGATGAGGCAGCAAGAACTTTTAAACATTGCGATAATAAATTCCCTCTCCCAATCACGTCTCCTCCTGCCCCCACGCAAAGTGCAGGGAAAAGAAGAAAACATGTGCAATACTCTGGAAGGATTTCCAGCAAGGCTGTTCACGGCAGCTTGTGTTTACATTCAGATCTCTAAAACATTAATGTTTGGGTATTCAGAAGTCAGTCGATGTCCCCCCTAAACCACCTCAGCATCTAAATCTCTCCGCTACCTGTGACAAACCAGCTGCCATATTTGTCCCAGGCAGCATTATTTTGAGTATATTTCAGACTTTCCTTTGTCACTGGTGTTTACATATAAATTATTGGGATGCTGCTCAGCGCCAGAGCATATGCTCTGCACCAAAAGGTTCCAAGTTTGTTGCAGGAACCCCCCCCCCCATCATTCAGTTTGTAGACACACACACACATGACATACGCGATGTTTCTGTTATAAATTCATAGTAAATCAACCGTACATCGGATTTACACTGGTCCACTTTTATTTTGCTCCATGAAGGAAGGACTATCAAAGGGGGACGGTTTGATACAGGACGGCCATAATCCCTTAAGCGTACCAACACATATTCAGGAGCCCTGCCCAGTTGGCATGGCAACCTTGATGGTCCCAGACAGAAGACCATCAAGGACACAACGGACTTGCATATGGGAGTGGATTCAACGGACTGGAACAAAGGACAATGATAAGATCTTCCCTCTGGGGGCCGGAAACTGCCAACTCCCCTTTGTCCTCTGGAAATGACTCATGGGGAGGGGGAAAGGAGGAACCAGCCAGGTGACAAGATACTCAGGTTACTTCCACAACCCCTCCCTCAACCCCTCCTTTTTGTGATGTTTCAATGATGTAATGATGTAGTTGTGATGTAGTTCTAGGGGTGTAGCGTGGGGGATTAGTAGCTAATAAAAGTTGGGGTCTTCTTTTGTTCGGGACTTCCATCTTGCTTCATCTTGTTGTGGGTGGGAGTCCTGTCGTGACAGTTTTCAATAAAGGCCAAGCCTACAGGCTGCTGTTTTGCTCCAAATTGTCCTGGTTGGTGTCTTTGTCTTTTTGTCCAAGGGAGCCCTCGGATTCCTCTGTTAACAAATTCAATCCCTGACATCTCCAGGCAAGGCAGAGAGAGAATTTTGCCTGACACCTTGGATAGCCACTGCCAGTTGGCATTGATCAAGGAGAAGTAACCTGTGGTCCTTCAGTTGTTATGGCATTTGACCTCTCAGCAGCCCCAACAAGCATGGACAAGAGTTAGGGCTGATGGGGGTTGTAGTTCCACAACATCTGGGAAGCCGGAGCTTCTCCATCACTGGTGTAGGCCATACTGACTGGACTAGAGGGCCTCTGACTGCATATAAGGCTGCTTTCTGTTTTGTCCAGCAATCTTTACAGCAGTTGCCTAATTTTGTGAACCCAACTAGTGATAACAGTCTGTAGTTTTGTGAAAATAGACTCTGTGTGTTAACATTTATGCCGTATCTTAAAAACAAAAAAATTATTGTTTTTGTACAGCCTACTTCATCAGATCATCTGACCAACTGCACTGCCGTCCACAGAAGCTAGTTCTTGTTCTAGTTTTTAATGTGCCACAAGACTTTTACTTTTTCTGCAGACTCTGGAAGCTGCATACAGAGTTGCTGTACGTACTAAGCTAGCTGCAACTTTATTGGCTTGACATGTTGCTCCATGCATCATAGCGACTCTTATCTGTGGACTAATATGCAAACTATGCAAGAAAGATATTGGTGGTTGTGACAGACTCCAGTTGGTGGGCCTCATACAACTATGTCTCAGTTGGGGTTTTAAAGACAGGGAGTCTGAAACAGTGTGATTTCAAGTCTTGAAGCACCATGTGTCACCCAAAAAGATTACCACCACTCAGGCCCAGTTCCCGGCTGGGAACAGAAAGCTAGATTATTAGGGACACAACTAAGCTGGAAACCTTCTGACTTTCCACTTTGTATGTACAAGCAGCCTTCACTCATGTGACTGCAATCTGAAGTAGCATTGTCCAGACACATGTTTTCCACCCTAACTGCTCTTTGTGCAAATAAAGCCTCAGTTAGGCTAGATGTGAGACAAAATGAGGCTGTTCTCTCACCATTAGAAATGTTTCTAACCCAATTTATACTTCTAATTCATAATTTTATCAAATTTATTTTTATAGTCTGGATATACAGTGGTACCTCAGGTTACATACGCTTCAGATTACATATGCTTCAGGTTACAGACTCTGCTAACCCACAAATAGTACCTCTGGTTAAGAACTTTGCTTCAGGATGAGAACAGAAATCGCGCAGCAGCAGCACGGCGGCAGCGGGAGGCCCCATTAGCTAAAGTGGTGCTTCAGGTTAAGAACAGTTTCAGGTTAAGAATGGACCTCCGGAACGAATTAAGTACTTAACCCGAGGTACCACTGTATAGACACTGACTTCTTGTATCACTGTGTATTTGCATAATCAAATAAAAGTGTTTTTTCCTAGGAGTTCACATATTTTGACTGAGTGACAAGTCATCAGATGCAAACAGTGAATGGTGTATGAGAATTCCAGTACATTTTTTTAAAAAATCCTCTGTGTTAAATCATACTCTAATGCTGCAACCCTATGCAAGTTTACCAAGAAGGCCTCATTGTAGTCAACGGCACTTACTCCCAAGTATAGAATCATAAAATTGTAGAGTCAGAAGGGACCCCAACGGTCATCTGGTCCAACATCCTTCAAATGCAGGAATCTCAACTAAAGCTTCCATGACAAATGGCCATCCAGTCTCTGGATCCTTTTCACATGTACATGTCTCTCACAATTGCACACACGTAGGACGTGGGTGGTGCTGTGGGTTAAACCACAGAGCCTAGGACTTGCCAATCAGAAGGTCGGCGGTTCGAATCCCCACAACGGGGTGAGCTCCTGTTGCTCAGTCCCTGCTCCTGACAACCTTGCAGTTCAAAAGCACAAAGTGCAAGTAGATAAATAGGTACCACTCCGGCGGGAAGGTAAACGGCATTTTCGTGCGCTGCTCTGGTTCACCAGAAGTGGCTTAGTCATGCTGGCCACATGACCCAGAAGCTGTATGCCGGCTCCCTCGGCCAGTAAAGTGAGATGAGCACCGCAACCCCAGAGTCGTTCACGACTGGACCTAATGGTCAGGGGTCCCTTTACCTTTACCTTTATTGGACAAGCATGAAATGATTGTTGCCTGTACAATAAAACATAATGTGTTTGCTGCTTTTAATCCTCTTCACAACCCTTTCAAATTGTTTCCAGCCCATCCCGGAGAAGTCCCAGATTCAGTTGTTCACAGACACACCCAGGGACCACCTGAATTGAACTCAGTGGTTGTGGACCAGTTTGGGAAGCCCTGACTTAAAGGGTTAAGTAGCCTTGGCTCCCTGTGAATGTTAAGAGCCTCCAGCCATTTCCTCATGACTCACCTCTCTCAAATGTGGGTGGCCTAATCAGTGGGTGGCTGCCCTTCCCCCCAGGCTATAAACATCTCCAGGACATAAACTGTATCCAACAGGCAGACCCATCTCCCAGTGCTTTGGGGTGGTGGTGTTGTTGCATTCTCTTGCCATGGGCAGAAGGGGGGGGGCGGGAAGAGATGCTAAATCAGGTTTTCTAAGCAAGATGTTGGCAAGTCTACAAGCTCACACATTGCCTAAACTGTGGTTACAAAAATGGTAGGGTTGCAAATTTCAAGATATTGATCAGCACAATAATCAGTTAAAGATTTAATAAGGAGTACACACCAGCTAAGTGGCCATATCAGTTGATTTCTGGGACCTGTATCCCAGGTTGTTTTTCACAAACAGCACTAAAAGTCACACACAGAGTGAAGGTAGATGTGTTGACCCATAAGCAAGATGCTAAAGACCATAATAGGGCAATACCTTTGTATGATATTTTGGTTGGCATAATAAAGGTATTTCCCCAGTAATATAGAATATGGAACATTAAATGCACCTTTCAGACTTTTTTGTCATTTGTGCTTGCATGGAAATTACTGGGGCACAGTTCTGAATGTGAAAAATACAGTTTAAATCAATTGAAGGCTGTATAAAAGGTAGGTTTCTACTGACAAGAAGAGACAAGGGTTGTGTTATCAACTAATTTGTCGAAAGACACCTTATTCTTGATTAGATAATCTGCCATGTATTCAAGATAAAGGTATTAGCTACAACACATTATGGAATTTTTGTGCTGGACAGGACTAGAATACTAGACTCTCATTCCTTTCCTACCTCAGCACCCCATACATCAATCCAATAATCCACAATACTGCCTGTGACAAACACAGAACAGATCATAAACCTTCAGCTTAATGCCTACAGATGGTAAGGTCAATGTTGCACATAATTCTACAAAGCACCCTGTGATTTTAAAAAACAACAACCCATAGTCCTCAGAGACCAAGCCATTCAATCAATGCAACAGGTGCTCTACTTCATCATCAATTTGCCCCAAACTAATTGTGAATGAAAAGTTCAAAAACTCAAACCTTCAGGACAACATAGAGATGGATAAGATAAGATAAAACTTTATTTGCATTAGCCAATGGCTATAGCAACAGTAAAATATATTTTATAAGGAACAGTTAAAATGTCCGTCTTCAGAACTTCTTCAGGTTGGATGTCAAAAAACAAAACAAAACATGGATGGCATGATATTGGAGCCCAAAACTCTGCAGTTCGTTACAGACTTGACATGAAGTACATAGGAGGTAATAAGTATACTCAGGCTACAATACACACCTGGAAGTAGGTCCCATTGAATTCAGTTGAGTAAAGATGGGTAGGTTAGTGCTGTGAGTTATTGTCACTTATAACATACCTCAGGGGGTAGCTAGACTTCAGCCTTACTTACTTCCACCAACAAGATCCAGGTGCAAAATATTTAGAATTAAAGAATTCTGAGCCTAAGAACAGGTTCTGAGTACCAGAACTAAACTGAACAGCAAGTTTCCAATTCTTCCACACAAAAATCCACTCTTTGTTACATCATGCATTTTCCCCATGCCTGGTCTTCAAATCACCAATGTAACTTGAGATAAGGGTTTGTTTTGTTGTTGCCTTTGTTAAACAGGGTGAAAAATCCTTGCCTGTCTACTTCAGATCACCAGTAGATTTACTCACCCCTGCCATTGATAGTTACTATAGACAACTATGACTTACATGGAACCCAAAACATTTTGTCTATCAATAGCTTTCACATATATTTGGTAAGAGGAAACAGCTTGTTTCACTTGTCTCAGTAAACTACTACTAACACAGAGGTGTTTTTTTGGGGGTGGGTGGGTGGGAATCAGGGATTGAAACTGCATCGTTTAAGGAAATTTCTGATGGAATTGTTAACATTTTAAAATGCTTCTAGGTCCCAGTCGGTGTGGAATACAAAATCATATTTGATCCAAGTAAATCCAGAAGTTTTGTGACTAGTATTTCATTTCGTCACAGCATCCCTGCGAGGTAGGTTAGGCGGAGAGCAGCAACTGACCCAGGGGCGCCAAGTGAGTGGGAATTTGAAACCTGGTCCTCCTAAGTCGTGCTCCCAAACGCTAACTGATAACCCAAAACTGTCATTGCCTTCTAGAGTTCTGGAGGTCCTCTGTTTTAGCTATGAAGCAACCGATGAGCATACCAAAGTCAAGTCCCGAGTCTAAATATTTGCAGCAGAAATAACCTGAAGGCGCTAAGCTCTTTGCCCGACCGTAAAGTAAACAACTGTCATAATGGTGCTTCGGCGCCGAGACAAAGGACAGAAGTTCCTGTGCAACCCTCGAGGGTCTCTTTGCAGGAGCTCTCCCGAAAGTTGCCCTGCCCGGATTGCAGCCTCCCCGACCCTCCCTCTAGCGCCTGCGTAGTGGAGCCTCCCTCTCTCTAGGGCAAGCGGAGATTCCTTTCTCCCAGTGTCAGATTTGCATCCCGGCTGGAAGGAAGGAGCAGAAAAGGGTAAGGAGATAAAACTGCATGCCTTGCTGCCTTTGCTGTGGGAGATAAAAACCCTGCAACTTACTCTTTTTTCTCTCTCTTTTGCAGAAAGAAAGGTGAAATCCGGGTGGCTGTTTTGTTCTCCTCTTTTCTTTCCTGGCAGAAGTAATGAGATGGGGCTTCTCCAGGTGCATCTTCTTTGCTGTTTCCTAGGTAATTAAACATTATTGTTTAATGTTGTTATGAACTGCCTTCTTGTTTTAAGCGGTCGGTGTGTATTCCCTGTTCCCCAAGCTGAGAAGAACTTTGTTAGTCCTGGAGCAGAACTTTTGTTTTTCATTCAAACCATCCCGTTTTAACAAATTTCAGATGTGCGGCAGCAACAAAAGGGGCTGCAGCACGAACTTTTGCAAGCAATGGCATTTGCCCAAGTAACTTAGAAAACTCCCTTGTTGCAATTTAACCATCACCCCCCTCCTCTCGTTTCTCGCTGCCCTTATCTCTTCCCCTTCCTCTCCCTAGAGATTGCAAGCTCATTGCGGGCATAGACCGGTTACGAACGATCAAGCGGGCTGCTTCCTCCTAAAGTTCCTTGCAGCTGTAAGGATGCGCTGGAAGTTGGGGCATTTGCATGGCTAAGGCTGCATTCCTGCGCCCACTTACATGGGAGCAAGCCAGACTTACTTTCGAGGAAGTGCGCGTGGGATCGGCTGGCAATCAAAGAGTTGGAGAGTTGGAAGGGACCCTAAGGGTCATGTAGTCCAACAGCCTGCAATGTAGGAATACACGTTGATGTGGGAGTACATTTTACGGAAGTGGGTTTACTTCCGCGTAAACCTGCATAGGATGAGGCTGCAAATAGGCTCGGGATGTAAGGCTGAAGTTCCAACTCCCACCTGGGAGTAAGTCCCATTGAATCCACTAGGGCAGGCACCCCCAAACCCGGCCCTCCAGATGTTTTGGGACTACAATTCCCATCATCCCTGACCACTGGGCCTGTTAGTTAGGGATGATGGGGGTTGTAGTCCCAAAACATCTGGAGGGCCAAGTTGGGGGTGTGTGCCTGCGCTGGGGCTTACTTCCCATAGGATGGCACTGTATAAGGCTTCGATCCTGTGCGCATTTTTTATGGTGCAAGTCCCATCGAACACAGTGGCATTTACTTCCGAGTAAACGGGCATCGGGCTGCGCTTTACATAAGTCAATACTATGTTACGATTTTTTGCCTGCATTTTCGCAGTGACTCATAGCCCACTCCGTCCTGAAAGATGCTAAGAACCGATTTTTAACGTAGTCTGTGAACATTTTAGGCAAACTCAGACCTTTAAAAGAACCCTCACCACCCCAACGGACACGCTGATAAAGATAGATCCACACGTCTGGGGATTGCAGAAAAGTCCCCAGTTGTTTTTATTTTGATTATACATTGTGTGGTTTTATATTTTGTTTTTGTTCTGTGAGCCGGTAGAGAGAGAGAGAGTGAGTGTAACCCAACCCGCTTTATGCCGCGATTCCTATACATCCCAGGCTGTAAACCCCATTGAAAGCAAATTAGGTCGCGTTCCTTGAGCATCAGCTTGCTTCGTTAGCTTGCAGCCGTGTAGACAAGCGCGAAGCCTGGGAACCCGCGGAACTCAGTAAGGAGGACGACGCCCGTTGGCGCGTTCGTGAGAATGGCGTGACACCCGAGTCGCGGGGAAACGCAAGTTCCTCGTCTGCTGCTCAAGCCCCCCTGTTAGCAAAGTGAAATGATGCCCTGGAACCGCTTCAGCCTCCAGAAACCTTGCGCGCACGCACACCCCCCCCCCCACCATAGCGCATTCCTAGTCAGGTCTACTCGGAAGCAAGGCCCGCCGCGGCGTGCTTGCTCCCAGGTAAGCGCCAAGAGGCCTTGGCTTTCCGCTCCGCCTTCTTCGCGCTCTTCCTCGCCGCCGCCGCCGGTTTGCGTGCGCTCAGCTCCCCAGAGGGAGAAGCGGCCCGGCGTGGATTTGGGAAGAGTCGTCGCCTGGCGCCATATGGCTTTCCTTGCCCGCTTGTTCTCCGCCGCTGGAGAGGCTCCGTCGCTGGGCAAGGAGGGGAGGGAATGGCGCCGGCTCCGTGAGGGGGAAATTGGCGGGAACTTGTCCCCCCTCCGCGAGCCGCGCTTTCCCCTCAGCCTCGTGGCTCCGTCCGAAGCCTTCAGACTTGGCCTCCTCTTTGGAGCACGCTTCGCCTCACGACCCTCCAGTTAACATATTTATATTCCTATCCCACTCCTTCCTCCAAGGTGGCCTTTCCCTGCTCTCCATATCGTCCTCAGGACAACCCTGTGACTTTGGTCATGGTGTGTCCAGAGCGAGGACAAAAATGTGGCCGCCTCCAAATATTTCTGATTTCTTATTCAGGATGGTGCAGGCGGTTTTACACACAAACACACACACTGCATTGAGCGGAGAGGGCACAATATGGAGACCATCCCGTTTGGGGGGCACCAAGTTTTGGCCTCACACAGCGTTACAAAAGATGGCCAAACTTATTTTCGCAACAGTTCCTTTGGGAATGGAGTTTGTTGAAGCACCTCACCACCTGCACATGCTCTCAAGGGCGCTGTTTATGCGCCCCTTTGGCTCACACCCAGTGCTGGCGAAGTGTTGCCTGTGGGGCAGGTTAGGAAGAGAGATGGCGGCTGCGCCAAGGCCACCCAGTGAGCTTCGTGACTGAAAGGGGATTTGAACCCTGGTCCCCCAGGTCCTGGTTCGGGGTTTTTTTAACAACCACGCAGACTCTCAAAAGTTAGTCACATTGGGACTGCGGCCTTTATGGGTTGCGCATGTGCAAGCTTGGTACAACTGGCCCAGCGGCTAGGATTCAGTCTAAAAACAGAACCCTATGTACGTTTACATAGAAGTATATTCATTTCATGTGCATCTCATTGTTCGTCCAAGGCTCAAGGCAGCATACAAGCTTCTTTCTACGTATTTTTCAGTTGAGATTGAAGAAAGAATCCCTGGCCTAAGGCCCCTTGGTCACATTCACACCAGTCATATTACTTTAACAGTAATGGTTTCCCCCAAAGAATCCTGGGAATTTTGTGTTTAACTTCTCACAGAACTGCCATTTTTAGCGCCCTTAACAAACAGCAGTTCTCGGGATTCTTTTTTTTTTTTTTTGAGGGGGGAGGGTTATTGGGTTGTTGTTTTTATTTTGATTATATATTTTGTGGTTTTATATTTTGATTTTGTTCTGTGAACCTCCCTGAGACCTCTGGGTATAGGGTGGTATATAAATTCAATAATTAACAGTGCTTCGAATGTGGATGTACCCTGGTCAGCTTCATGGCTACCGTCACATTTGAATCGGGGTCTCATCAGTCCCAGCATGACGCACTAATCCAATGGTAGCTAATGAGGGATCCACCAGATCCCTTGGACCACAACTCTCATCATCCTGGTGGGAACTGTAGTCCACAGATCCAGAGGGCACCTGGTTGGCTGCCCCTTTTGTAACCATTTTTCTACACTGGTATTCTATCATACTGCCTTCTTTGTTCTTATTTCTAGGTAAGAAATGGGAGGCAGTGTAAAATTGTGCCTGTGGTCTTTTCCCCCAGTATCACTGAATGCTTTAAATTGAAGGGGGAAATGGTAGTTAATAACAAATGCTTGTCACCTTTTGCTCGTCCTGTACTAAGTTCAAATAACTCAGTGGGTAGATAACCATTCCCCCCTATAAGTGTTTGGGTTCCTTTTCTATTTAATTTTTATAGTGACATGCATATGTCGTGGATGGAAAATTGAAGGAATTGTGGTCTGGATGCTCCACCACAGATCCATTTCACAAGTTAGTGCATCTTGCTCAAATAACTTTCTGAAGTATTTTCAGTGGTGCACTCAACTGAGGCCTCACTGTGAAGTGAATTACTTTGATTTCTCTTTCATCACCTGGGTGTCCCATTTGTGGCAACCTAAATGAAAAAAATAAACAAACCTAAACCACAGCTCTCCGCAGACAGGAATGAGACAGAGTTGTGTGATTTGTCCTGTGGTGAAGAGGGGTCCCTATATTTTCAATAAATCTGTTTTGTTTTTTTGCTACTTGCCCAGCTTAAATAACCATAGAATCCAGAATGCTTTTATTCTAATCTGGGACAGGAATCGGTGCCTATCGCCTGCTTACTTGCAAGTTCACAAAAGCATTGACAGAGATTGCTTATTCTTCAGCAAGAAAATGATTTGGCACAACTACATAGGGTTTAGTGTCTATCCCTTATTATTGTTAGCATCAACACATTTATGAAATTGCCATCTGGCAATTACCCCGTGTGTAAGGTGATGCTAATCATGGCATCCACCACTGAAACATCTCCTCTTCCAAATGCTGATCTGCTCCTGGCCCTTGCTTCTCCTTCCCATTTTTAGGCCTTTGGACCATTGCGGTAGCTCAGGAACCAGAATTCAGCTACGGATGTGCAGAGGGGAGCTGCTATCCAGCCACAGGAGACTTGCTGATTGGCCGGGCTGACAAGCTAACTGTCACGTCCACATGTGGGCTTCAAAAGCCTGAACCATACTGCATTGTGAGCCACCTCCAGGTAAGTTTTTGCAGAAGAAGACTGTCTCAGAGCAAAGAGGAATTCGGTTGAGTGTAGTTGAAGGGCAATTGATCATAACAGTCCTGGGTCTTCCTCTCTCTCTCCCCCCATAGCTGACCAAGCAGCCCCACACCCTCTCTAGATAAGTAGAAACATCTGGTGCTGTCCAGAGCTTTGAGAGGAAGCAGACACCATCCCCCTGGCTCAGATTTGTTTGTACAGTTGCATGTGTCCTGCTGTTTCCTGCTCTTGTTTGTTTTTGCTCCCTGAATGCACCAAACCACCTTCTCCCAGGATCATTAGGAGCGTGAGCCCTTCTTTCCTGCAGTCCTAGCTGTGACACCAACAAAAAGTCTTATCTCAGATTTCTGGGAATTCTGTCCAAAAATGCAGATAAATCCCAGGGCTCTTAGTTTTAACAAAATATCTATGTCATTGGGCATGTCTGCATGGGAAGTTACCCCATTTCTGATTCAGCTTTTTTTAGTGCTGAAGTCACATCAGGAAGAAGCAAATGATGTGGGTGGGGGATCCCATTCTTTAATTGTGTTTCAAGTCGTTTGGATGATGCTGGCCTAAGATATTTTGACGCCCCAAAGTTAAACAAAAAACAAAATACCAACATCAACAATCTTATACTTAAAAGCCAAGTGTGCACTGCAGACAGAGTAGCTACTGTTTGGGAAAGTCAGTTATTGCCTCCTTGAATGGATAGATCTCACTATCTATGGATCAAGACCACAGGTCAGAACTCGGGCTGCGTTCCTGTATACACTTACAAGGGAGTAAATCCCATAGAAGACATTAGGATTACTCTTGATTAAATATTCATAGGAGTGTGCTGTCTACTTACACGGAGATTAGTATTGGGACCACACTGATGTTAATGGCTACTAATTTCCCTCAAACTAGCATTTATACTTCATATTCTGCATACTGATAAGATGGTTCTTATAACTAGCCATTACTTGTGTGTGTGAGGGGGGTGGCATTTCTGCATCAGTGTCAAATTTCTCTTCTGTAGTTCTGGTCACAATTAAGCGGGTCTTAATTCCCAATGCATTATAAGTACATGCAAAATTTCAGCTGAAGTTACTTGTTCTTAAACTATAATTGTTTATAGACTAGGAATGTTAATGGTTAATGCGATTGTGGTGTAATGAGTCCAGATATATTAATAAAAACATTCTGCTGATTGCACTACCCCCAGCATGATATATGAGAGCTGTCTAGACTACTTCCTTCATTTACAGTCTCTGGAAAGATATATAGCTAAAATTCTAGCAATTTCAGTGTGGTTGTAGATATAGACTAAGGAAATACAGTTAAGCAAACAAGGTCTAAGCAATACATTGTTAAATAACCCATTCTTTTCCCAGAACATTTTTCAGATATAAAACAAATTTTGTCAAAAAGAAAATGAAATATGCTTTGAGTAAATAAATAAGAGAAAGTAGCAGAGTAGTTTTTAATCTGAATTATGGGGTAAAGCTATATCCAGTTTTGGAAGACTCAACCCTTAGAGATGATGGTGAAAATGTTTCTGGTTATCTAGGTGAGAACACGGCAATGAGCATATGGAAAGTAAATATATCTATTTGAAGAAACCAATAATTGTAAGAGGAAGTTATAAACAAAAAGGGAGTTGGTGTATTGGTGATTATATGTAATACTAGAAGCCTACAAGCCAATCTGGGGAAGAGGGAGTGCTCAGGTTGAAAAGAGAACATGGATAATACTGAGTATATGAGAATCATGTTATCCTGAGATAAAGAAAGAAATCGGGAATAATCGGGACAGAAAGGGTTTGCAGTAATGAGGGACTTCAAAAACCTTCACAGTGACCATGCAAAATAGATGTTCATGTTGCAAAAAAAGGCAAACTTTCTGGATAGCACAAATAGCTGTGCCTTGGAATGTACTGTAATGGCATCTGGTGCTCCCTCAAAGGTTGGCTACAAGTCTACCCACTCTGCCATTCCACTCCCACCAGCAGAATATAGCTAGTCAGGGGGCACAGCCCACAGAAAATACGTTAATCTAAGATTTATAGCTATTGGTCATGCTTATAAATTCCTTGCCATCCACACATGATATTAGGCCACCACAGAGCAACACAATGCAGGCGCCAACTGTACCACAATCAGCAAAAAAGGAATTAATTTGTCTTGAGAGCAGATAACTCAAGGAAAAAATGTCACTCAATACAGAATTATATGCACATAGTTAAATATGCAGGATATATCCTAGAAAACATTCACACATTTTAGAGATAGAGAACATCAGATGGGATAGTGTTTTCTTATAACCACCTGGATAAGTTTATGACAGTGTTGAGACTCATGGGATTTGGCCCATCACTTTTAATAGAGAGGAGTGCAATTAGGAAACTAACTGGGTCAGATGCATTCTTATGGGTCTGGTTTGTCAACAAAAAGACCAACATGTCCTCTCCTACCCAATCAATACCTTTTTGCTGCCACCCCTGCATTCACTATAAATTTTTGTCTAGGGCATTTATACTGTATTGACAGCACTGCAATGCAATATGCCACATTGGTTTCCATAGCCGATTGTTGACAATGACATCAGTGTTCCTTCAGGAGAATCCCTCTAAACCATCCTAACATAACTGCAGAGGAGAGGCTAATCATTAATGCAAACCGATTACCCTCCAGTCTCCAGCGAATAACTGGATCATAAAATCTGTCTCACCGCATAACTAAAACCAGCAGACAGTAATTTGGACAGGACCCATCACCACATCAGAAGCACAGCAGTGGCGACACTATGACACCCTGTGCAAGGCCAAAATTTGCCCCTCCCCCTGTCTTCACACTGCCTTCCCAAAGGTGAGTAGGCGCATGGCTTTGGGAAGGAGACAGGGGGACCCTAGGACCCTTTCAGAGCCTTATGCCTCCTTCCCAAATATATATATTTAATATTTAGATTTATTGTGTTTCTAGTTGTATCTCTTTTAATTTATGCTAATGCACTGAAAGAAAGGTGGGACATAAAATAAAATTTAAAAGTAGTGCTTATTCAGAATTATACACTTTTAAATACATTCTAAGATGCTGCTATGGATCTATAACCATGTGCAATTAGGTCATTCTGTAAGAGACACTGAGTCAGACTGACAATGTCGAGGCATCCAGGAATGAAGTATCACTCTGGTAGACTGCCCAGTATCTTGCAAATGACAGTTTCATGCTAGGCAGAAAAAGCTCGAGCCAGTAAAAGCACTTCAAAGCAAACACAGACTTCAAAGCAATCAAACCATTTAGATTATTCTACAACTTTGTTCTACAATTATTCTACAACTTAGCATGTTTGTCTTTACTTCTGCTCTCTGAGTACATTCACATGTAAAGCTAAACCATGGTTTTCCACTATGCAGACAAACCTTAAAGCTCTGGCAAGGTGGCAGAGTACCAACCTCACCCCCTTCCCCCTCTCTTCTTCCCACGCGTCTGAGAGAAGGAACATTTCAGTTCCTTTGAATCTCAGCTCGGTGCTATGAATGCAGCATAAATTCTGCTTTAAATTCTGATCAATTTCAAGATAAGCCAGCTTCAATCCATGTGTTATAAAGCTGATTTATTAAACTAGCCATATTTTGTTTTAAACCGGGATTTCAGTTTCATGCATAATGCTAAGCCAAGATTTAAAGAAACCAAAACTGATAACAATCTCAGCAGGAAGGAGCCAGGCATTTTGCTTCAAATCACTGAGGCTCATCAGTGTAGTGCTAAGCCAACCAGGTAGCCAACAGGCTGCCCTTCAGATATTTTGGTCTCAAACTCCCACAACAGCCTCAGTAAGCAGCACGGCCAATGGTCAAGGAAGATGGGAGTTGTTATCCACAACACCTGGAAGTCAGCATGTTGATGACCCCTGCACTAAACCACAGTTTAGCATTACAGTGGTACCTCGGGTTAAGTACTTACTTCGTTCCGGAGGTCCGTACTTAACCTGAAACTGTTCTTAACCTGAAGCACCACTTTCACTAATGGGGCCTCCTGCTGCCGCCACACCACCGGAGCACGATTTCTGTTCTCATCCTGAAGCAAAGTTCTTAACCTGAAGCACTCTTTCTGGGTTAGCGGAGTCTGTAACCTGAAGTGTATGTAACCTGAGGTACCACTGTACATGTGAACAAGCCCTTTACCTTCCAAGAGACCCATGTGTTCTAATTAGCATGGCAGACTGAACCAAGTAACTACTGGATTTTATATTTTCGAAACTGGGGAAACAACCCATTATCTTTTCTTTATCTCGATAGCTCTTAGAGTGCCTCCTGTGATCTGTCTTGCACCTGGTGAGGCTAATCTAAAGACATATATCCAACTTATCCTGCAGTTCTTCTTTGACTATTAGAAGCTACAAAATTTGGGCCAACGACATACCCACCTTTTCCTCTGCCCTCCTCTACCCCCTTTTTAATTAACATTCTGTTCTGTTCAAAAACTCTCTCATAACTTTATGGTGTTTTTGCTAGACCCTAATAAAGGCAGTCACATCTTGTGGCTTTTGGATCCCTCCCCAACCTACCTTCAAAGCAATCAATCCCTGGAGTCTCTCAAGTGACTCAGTGATGCTGAACCAGACATTCAGAGATTGCTCCTCCATCACCCCTCCCCCAAGTTAAAGGCACAGATAAGTACAATAGTATGAAGCAACCATCCATTGTGCTAGAGCATAGTGACTGTCCATGTAAAAGAAAGAGGCATGCAAGGGTATTTATCTTTAGTCCGATGCATATCCTAGCATCAGGCTCAGACAGTAGCAGAAGTGAGATAAGAGAACAATAAAAGACAAATATGTTGGGTCGACTGAATGCCTGTTTCCAGAAATGCTTGCAGGAGTTGCATGCAAATAGCTCAGATAAATATGCTATAAATATTTTTTTATAACCATTTTGAGCCCCCAGCAAGTTGAACTTAATGTGAAGCCTTCCCTTGATGTGACCCTAGACTTTATTCTGAATGGTGCTCAGGATCTGGTGCAAGTGTTGTCAGATGGATTTTGAGACGTGACCACAATGCTATCAAATGCAACATATATGTCAGTGACAAAATCCCCAGAGAGTTCCAACGTTTGATTTCAAAAGCAGAAATGAGATTAAAAGAAAGTCAGAAGCAAGACTTAGAATGATAAAATATATTCAGGAAACTTGCAGGTTCTTTAAAACCCTAGTAAGAGAAGCTCAGATAGAATTAATACCATCAATTAGGAAAGGTTCCAAGAAATCCATGAGCATGTCAAAAGGCAAGATGGGGATTTCCAAAAATGGAAGTCTTGCCCATACAAAACACAAGCTCTGGTTAAACAACTACAAGACAAGATGAAAAATGGCCATAGTTACCCTCCGTCTTTGAATAAGGCGTCGTATTCAAGTCAGAAGAGGAGTACTGCTGCCCCTCCCTTTCATGTGTTGCTGTTGACTGTAAGGATAAGTGCAGCATAATTGTGAATTGGGTGGTCGGTGGAATTTAGGGGAAGACAGTAACTTCTGCAAGATTGATCTGTCTTGTTTGTTTCAGGAGGATAAAAAGTGTTTCACCTGCTCTTCACGGGACCCATTCCATGAGACACTCAATCCTGACAGCCATCGTATTGAAAATGTGGTCACTACCTTTGCTCCAAACCGTCTCAAGTTATGGTGGCAGTCAGAAAATGGTAAGCTGTTTATGTGGGAAGAATTTCCCCAACACTTAATTGGTTGCCCTCAGTTGATCTTAAAACCTTGCTTTGTATTCATAATCATCTATATAGCTGTTTGCCTTGTAATTACTTCTGCTACATAGTTTCAGTCTTTTGAACATTGTGTTTTTTGTGTGTATGTGTGTAAAACTATATCCTTTAATTAGAGGTTGTTGTTTTTTCAGGCAACGTCTCAAAATGCTTGGAAGGCAGGAATTAATAGTTCCAATTATCTAGTTATTCTAAAAAGGAGAAATTTTCACATATTGCCCTCAATCTTTTTCTCCTTTAAGATCAGAATGAGGCATATGAGAAAATGTTTCATCAGGAATAATCCTAGGCAATTCCGTGATTGGTTGTGAAACTCCTATGGTTTACGCAAAGTTTCTTTCATGAACAAATACAAGTGTATTATAAGTAAGTGCTCTTAAGAAAAACTCTTCCTTAGATTACAGAGAAAAAATCATTAAGAATTAAGTAACTTGAGCTCTCTATCTTCAGTATTTTCCATTTGGTATTCTAAACAGCCGTCATGTAATTTTATTGTACTAAACTTGGCAGCAGCAGCGCATAAATGTTTCAGCATAAAAGTTCACACAAGTATCCCTCAGAAATAAATAACACATGGTTCTTCTTGCCTGGTTTGTTTGTTGTTGTGGGGTTTTTTGCATTAGACCAGGCTCCAGTAAGGTCATTTATAATGATTCATAGTTCAATGGAAATTATTGTTGTCTAAAATGTTGAGAGCACAGTTCTTTCCTTTCTTCTTGTGTCTGTCTCCTGTACTTAAAAGGATTCACAGGCTTACATTTTATGGCAGAGGGACATCAAACTTCTGCCATTGGCTGAGAAAAACTTGAAACTTATTTAGGCTTAGTAAGCTGCAAGCAGCAGCCTCTCCTGACATGGTGTGGCTACGTTGGCTGAAGGCGGCACCATAAAGGGGAAGGCAAGTAAATCAGACAAACCAATCCTTCCTTCTCAGTGCTATGCTATACCCTGTTTTCCCCAGCTGCCTCTATGAAAGAATCCTTTAACATTTCGGACTTTTAACTGGCCTGACCTATTCCATGCACTGGGAAGAATGGAATGTCACTTGGGTGACAGGGTGAATGACAAGGCCTCAGACCACATTTTTCCAGAAGAAACAAGGTGTTAACTGGGATCTTCCTCTGTGTGCTCCCTCAGAGAGAGATTTAGAAGGTGGTGATAAGGGAAGAGGGCCTTTTCAGTTGTAACTCCTTGGTTGTCAAATATTCGTCCCAGTGAGACCTACCTGTCCCAGATATTTGACAAGTTTAAGATGATTTGGTTGTGTGTTGATGCTGGTTTTTTTTTGCTGAAGTTTTTGCAGCTGTTTTTAATTTCTACAACAAATAGCTGATTAGTACTTTGTTGTTATGTTACTCTATATTGCACCCTTTCACAGAGAACAAAAACAAAAAACAAACTGGCTTTTTTGTAACCAAACACATACCCCCAGGAAAAAAAATGATGAAATTAGACTTTCGACAAATGTCCTTGTTTACTGTGCAACTTCCTCTCTTGGTCTTGTAGGAGTAGAAAATGTAACCATCCAGTTGGATCTGGAAGCCGAATTCCATTTCACTCATCTCATTATGACCTTCAAGGTAAAGAATCCATAACATTCTCGCAAATCACAAATGACCCTTGTGTAATCTGGTACTGGTCATGGAAGGCAGTTAACTAGCTGCTTGAGAATAAAATGCATAGCACCCCATGTTTTGAGGAGATCTTTTAAAAAGGATTTTAAAAGCTATTAAAACTGGAATGCAATAGGTAAGATAAACCACATCAGTTTTACGATACAGGCTAATTGGCTTCTTCTGCATTCTTAGGTAAGTCTTTAAATAAATTCCAAACACTCAGAAAGCAGGAAAAACAAAGATTAGGACTGCAATCCTGATTCCTCTAGCCCCACTGAATTTTGTAAAACTTACTACTGAAAGGTTATGGTTAGGATTGCAGTCTTACTGTTGCTTTTTCATCTGTGCCCTCTGCAGCAGTAATCAGTAGCTGGTCTATCACTAATTTTTTGTTGATAAAGTTGAGGGTTCTGTAGGATGTTTTGTCCACATAGCCTTCTCTGTTCTCCTTATAGTTGTATCAGATCCAAACCGGGGAATGTGATTCTTTAAGACAACAAAATTATTGGCTTTAGAATTCTCTCAAATTTGGCAGCTGAAATAATCTCCAGGAAAAAAAGAACATCTGTATACAAAGTTCTTTTGTTTCCTTCTGAACAGATGTCTTGGCAGGGCAGATGCGCCCATATGGTTTAAAATATATTTCATTGGGGAGGTACACAATAGTTTGACTCTCCTGAGATGTGCATTCAGAAAATCTTTGCTGGGATTACATTTAATGCATTGCTTATGTGAAAATAATTTAGACACTTAATTTCATACCAAGTGAGCAGTACCTAATAATAATCAGTACCTACACCCAAGAAGCACCATATATGTTTGTACAGTATAGCATTTGTAATCAATTGAATACCCGACTTTTAACTGATATAATCAATCTCTTCCATTTAACTTACTTTTCCCCATCTTTATCAAAGCATCAATACAGGTGCCTTTCTATGAACACACATAACTGCCTAATATTTGGTCAGGCCACTGGACTGTATAAACCAGCAGTCCTCAACCATGGAGCCAAGGGGTACATCAGGAAATCCAAGAAACACTCATGACCATCACAGAACACCTATTTCATTTAAGATAAATTGGTACTACTCAGAGCCCCCCCCCCCCAAGCAGTCAAAGCACCCCCTGAAACAAACAAACTGCAGGCAGGGCTTTTTTTCAGCTGGAACTCACCAGAACTGAGTTCCGGCAACTCTTTATTGCATTCTGGCACCTCTTTGGTGCTGTTCCCCTGCATGGCACTCTGGGCTGTGTGACAGAGGTGGTGGGCAGCAGGTTGAGATATATTCCTGTTCCTGTGGCGGTGGGGTGAGCGGGTAAAGAAGAAATGTCCCCCCGCCCCCAAAGGCTCAACAACTTCTTCGGGTGGGTGCTCCCCCTGAAAAAAGCTACACAAGTTCCAACACCTCTTTTTCTATAAAAAAAGCCCCCTACATCCAAACAACCTCCTCAAAATGCAAAAAGAAAATGAATGAAAAGGCACCACATTGGGGCAATGGGGTCCAAACCAAGTGACTCTTAAGATACTCTTAAGACTCTTAAGATATGAAGCAGACATATTTCTCAGCCCTGCCACCTGCTATCTAGAAATACCAAAGATTAAATATTGTGCCCACAAAGCATTGCTGTACTGCTGAGCAATGGTCCTTATTATGTTAGTCTGGTTGATACGTGCCCCCCCCCAAATACTGATCTATTTGTGGCAAAATAAACTGCAACGCAGCCTTATTGCTACTGATACATTTGCTCGCGCTGCGACTTCATGAGTCCTCCATCCATCAAGCAACACCATTCCTATACAGTCTGGGGATTTAGCTGGTGCAGCTGTGCCTTTTTCTGGTACAGCCTGGGCGAATGAATGAATATCACTATTAACACGCTCCTTGGCCCATGAGGGGGCCTTGACCTGTTGGAGCACCTGCAATTACAAGAGGCTTATTGTTGTTTAAAAGCATATTCTGTAGACTGACATGCATAGGCCACACAGATCTGAGCATAATCAGTGCAAGAAGAAGCAGCGGCAGAAAAGTCAAATAAATGTTCAGGAAATTGTAAATGATACTGGAAAATTATTTCAAATATTTGATGAACATTGTTCCAAATAATTTGTAGCTTAACATCCATTAAAATCTATTCTTCTTCTTGATTCTTAGACGTTTCGCCCAGCTGCAATGCTGATTGAAAGATCCTCAGATTTTGGGAAAACTTGGCAAGTATATAGATACTTTGCCTATGACTGTGATACTTCATTCCCAGGTGTTTACAGTGGACCAATGAAGAAAGTAGATGACATAATTTGTGATTCCCGTTACTCTGATATTGAACCTTCAACTGAGGGAGAGGTTCGTAGTTTTATCTACAATTGATCTGCCTTACTAGTGAGGCTGTATCTCTGTGACGCTGATGAATCCTCATGTTTGTTTCAGGTAATTTATCGTGCTCTGGACCCTGCTTTTAGAATAGAGGACCCATATAGCCCAAGAATTCAAAGTAAGTATGCAAGCTTCTTATCTTCCTATACATTTTTAGGATTGCACTTGAACTGCATTAAATGCTTTACAATAATTACCTCACATGTCAGCCTTGTGTGGTGAAGTCCTCTTCACTTTTTGCAGACAGAGAAAGAAGGGTGAGAAATAGTTACTTATTCAAGGTTATTCAATAATTCTGTCACCAAGCTGGCAGATCGTAGGTTCCTTGCGGAGTCATGTTTTAATACTACTTGCACTGATTGCACAACCTCTTAGTCTTGAAAGTTAAAAAGAATTACAAGTTGTTGTTACAGAATATGGAAAAACTTGCATCCCTGTACTGGCTTGTTGGAGCCAGTATGTTTCAACATTTCAGAGCACAGGTTCGTTTCAGATGGATTTGAAGTGAGCTTGGAAATGTGTTTGCAAGACTTGAGTGACTGAAGAATTTTCATTAACACCAACCTGTGATCCCCACTAGGATCAAAGGAGCTCCTAAACATGCATGCTTAGAAGCTGATGAAAGGGTATTGAAATGTCCTCAGGTGTCCCATCACAAACAACAGTGGTGATGAACATACGGAAATTTTTAATGACTCAATAGAGCTAAGTCTATTTAAATCAATATTTCAGCTACATAAATTCCGGCTTCATTTCAGCATATACTATTAATGAGTGACATTTACAAGAAACTTGCTGCTGAACAATCATCATACATTTAAATGTATTTATTTAATAGGGCATACTTCCTTTCCTATCGCAGAGCTTCAGGTTGATTAAAATCAGGCTAGGCCCAGGGCATGGATTTAAGGTTCATGATACAGTAACTTTGCAAAAGCTGAGCAGGACCAAGTCTGCTCAGCGACTGAATGGAAGACTGGATGAGAACCCTACTTATGCGTCTTTGGTGTCCGTGATGGAAGAAAGGCAGGGTATAGATGTAATAAAATAGATTTAACATTGGAAAACAGTTTTTTAATAATGATACTTTGAATTTGTATAGTGCTTAAACTTAGTTGCCTTAGCCTAAGTGTATTTTCAGGGAAACTTCTTGCTGGTATATTTATTTTCTTTTAATGAATTTCCACCTCACTATTTAGCCAAAAGAGGCTCCCAGGAAAGCTTATACACTAAAAACAAGATAGACCCTGCTTCTAAATGGTACAAAACAAAAGGAAAATGGATTGGGGGCGTGGAGAAAGAAATGAGCACACACAGGCACCAGATATTCATTACAGCATCTTCTAGTGATCAGCTGGGATGGAAACAGTTAATTGAGAAGAGGTCCCCAATGGTTGCTGGTGTCTTTAAGTTGCACCAGTTGTTGCATCCCCCAACTCATAACTGCTTGGTGGAATGGCTTGCAGTTGGGGGAATGGGAGGAGATAAATATGTGCAACTCCCATCATCCCTGACTGCTGGTCCTGCTAGCTAGGGATGATGGGAGTTGTAGTCCAACAACAACTGGGGACCCAAGTTTGAGAAACACTTTGTTAGACTCATAAGCTTTTCATAATAAATATTCTTAATATGTCTTAATATGTCTCTTGCAATGAAACTAATTTTTTTTTAAAAAAAACAACAACAACACCCTTACTTTATTTATCTTTGGCTTTTCAGATATGTTAAAAATCACAAATTTAAGAATCAAATTTACCAAACTGCACACACTGGGAGACAACCTTCTGGATTCGAGAATGGAAATCAGAGAAAAATATTATTATGCCATTTATGACATGGTGGTCCGTGGAAATTGCTTCTGTTATGGACATGCCAGTGAGTGCGCACCGGTGCATGGCTATGATGAAGAGGTGGAAGGAATGGTAAATTTTTATATATTTTTCATAACAAGCAGATAGGTTACAATTCTGCCACTCAGACTCTTAAGAGGTTCCCTCTTTGAGGAGAGCTACCAATGTAAACAAAGGTAGCAAAACTGCATTTTCTATCAATTTAAATTATTGTTGAGGGTCAAAGTAAATGAGACATCAGTAGCTATGGGTAAGGGGGAGGTTTAGCACAACAATGTCCGAGTCCCTGAAAAGCTTGGATGTAGAACAGCTCTAAAACTTGTATATAGCTGCTTGGTATAAACTCTGGATTAAACAAACTGAGCTGTCACAATCTAATTTGGCCCTAGAGCCAAATTAGCATCTCATCTTAAGGGTGTTCTGGACAGCATGTCCTTTTTACATTAGACAGGTGAGAAAGGAGCCACTGCTGCCCTGGCAGCCAACATCTTCCCAGTCAAAGATGAAATAACTTGCTCTTCATCTTGTTCCATGATTTCCAAGCTTCTGGATTTTTGTAAAAAAGTCCCTAGAAATTCTCACAACAATCAAAGACTACTATTTCTTTATATGAACCCTTAGTCAATGAGAGGAAATGAGCATTGCTTTTATTTTCAATATATTGTGTCTTTGTATGTATGTTCCAATCTCTCTCTCTCTCTTTAAATGAAAGGTCCATGGTCACTGCATGTGCAGGCACAACACCAAAGGCCTAAACTGTGAACAGTGCTTGGACTTTTACCATGACTTGCCATGGCGACCCGCCGAGGGTCGCAACAGCAATGCATGCAAAAGTAGGTGTGACAAATTTAAATTCTGCTTTGTAAAATCTATGGTACTAATGTCTGATGAGCCTTTCATGAGAAACTGTGCTCTCTGTCTTATAAATGGCACAGATTACCCAACTTTTAACCAATTTTGCTAATAAAAATACTCAGCTGCCGCTGCACTCCTTTCTAAACAAGTTAATGTAGTTGTTTGATGGAAATTTTAGTTTTAAAAATGGATTCTCATTTAGAATTAGTTTCTTTATCTTTATCCTAGAATGCAATTGCAATGAACACTCTGCACAGTGCCACTTTGACATGGCCGTGTACATGGCAACTGGAAATACCAGCGGTGGAGTGTGTGATGACTGTCAGCACAACACGGTGGGGCGTAATTGTGAGCAGTGCAAACCCTTCTACTTCCAGCATCCAGAGAAAGATATTCGGGACCCCAACATTTGTGAACGTAAGTACATTGTCTCCAAAGTGTAGTTGACAGCTTGTTAAGATAAATGAGTGTGATTCTGAAATAGTAAATAAAACTTTGTAGTTCTTTTTTATCCTAAAATGTACAAATGGAAGACTTACTGCTTGTTCCAGAAACATTGTGGGTTATATCTGATGTAGGCCACAGTCAGAGTAAATCAATGGGCATGGCTAATTTAAGTCCATTCATTTCATTGGGTCTGCTCTGAATATGACCACTTATGTGTACTGATTTGTAATAGTAGAGGCTCCTGTATTCAAAGTGGTATAGCACAAGATTTTGGCTAAATGGGAACGCTAGTTGCCATTTGGTGGGGCACAGCAGCTTCAGACAGTGGGAGGCTTTGATGACAGAATTTTCGGGAAGTGGAATTGGTGTTGTATTTGGCTATAATATATGCTTCCTGCCCAGTAGCTATGATTGCATAGTAAAGAGCTGCTATTTCTTTTAGCGTGCAACTGTGATCCAATTGGCTCCCAGGATGGCGGTGTTTGTGATCGCTACACTGACTACTCAACTGGCCTTATTGCCGGACAGTGCCGTTGCAAATTATACGTGGAAGGGGAGCGCTGTGATTACTGCAAGGAAGGATTCTATGGATTAAGTTCAGATAATCCGCTTGGTTGTCTGTGTAAGTAAAACAAAAATAAACCACTTTGTAGTTTTGAGCAAGAGGAGTGTTTCTAATGCTGCACCTCACTGATTATGTTAACTGAATCTTATTAAGTTTAGAGCTATATTTTTTATTTGTAAATACATTGCCTGCCCTGCCTGCCATTGTGTGTGTGTGTGTGTGTGTGTGTGTGTGTGTTTTACTGACATAGAGGAGCAGGAAGGTATAAATTCATATTATCTTGCATTGTTTACTTTCCTGGCCTTTCCTGTATGTTCAAATTTAATTTTGGTGTGGGGATACAAGGGCTGTTTTTTGTTTTTATTTGTTTTGTTTTCCAAGCAACAGAAGTCTCTTATCCTGTTCCTTGCACACCGGAGGGGGAAACCCATCACCTTTCAGTATTCTGGCCAACAAGTGCAAAGGTGCTGGGATGGTCTATAAGCACATGAGCATTTGAGGGCAGAGAGTTGTATTAAATTTAAATGCCTCACTTTAAATATATCAGACTTCTTGCATTTTGCTTTTTATTGGGTTATATTTAATTACAATACCCTTATAAATGATTCCTTAGCAATCCTGGCTCTAGAATTTTGAGGACCCCACAGTACACACATTTGGAGTCCTAACCTGGAAGAGGCGGATGATGCCTACCCTCAAACAGGTTGCCGCAGAAAACCGGGATGTGTGTCTACTGTAACACTCTCCCATGCAAGTCACATGACCTACATGAGATCACACCCCATGTCTTTTGAGGCTGAGGCCCCTGCGAAACAGGAAATCCCAATTTAATTGGGGCAGTTGAGGGGTATGTGCATGCAGACTGAGAATTCTCACAGGCTTCAGCCAACCATATTGAATACTCTGTGCAAGGTTAACACTGTTAGGGTGATGGGCCGTTTTTCCGGTCCTGGGGACCTGGGAAATTGCCAGTCTTGCCACACTGTGGAGCCAGCTGTGAGCCTTAGAAAACACCACAAAATTTCTCACTGTAGGATTTCAATTTATGGTATACGCTTCTACTTCACAGCTTTTGTTTTGTTGTTTGTGCTATTTTTTATCACTGACTTTAGGTTATGCTGACTGGTTTTTTGTTTTTGTTTTGTATTGTTCAGTATGACCTTTGGTCAACAGGCAATACATCTGTCTCCTTGGCTTTATTCATACACAGGATGGTGTGTGAATGTGTTTTTGTGAGCTGGGTAAGAGAGAAAAGCCATTTGTCAGTAAGTCTGCAGTGAAAAATGAGGTATAGTGTTGATGTAAATATTTGTATTAAATGCTGTGCAAATTTATAACTTAAACAACTATATCCTGATTTATTTACTTATACTTCCTAATATAGCTTGTGCATGTAATCCTTTGGGCACAATTCCTGGAGGGAATCCTTGTGACTCAGAGACAGGAAGCTGCTATTGTAAACGTCTTGTTACAGGAAGACGTTGTGATCAATGTCTGGTAAGTCGCCTTGCTTAAAAGAACAGAGCTTTTAGTGTGTGTGTGTGTGTGTGTGTGTGTGCATGTTTTTTTTTAAAAAAAACCCTTTCCAAATAAAGCGACAAGTGTCATTTGTCTGGTAAGCTTCATTTAAAAACTTCAGAATAATCAAACTGATTTGCAACACCAAGCTCCTCTACTCAAAAGCCTAAAGGGCATTCTCGATACTTCATAGTGCAGTATTTAAATTCACAAAAGTTGCATACATTTGTTTTGGAATGCCAAATTATTAGGCCAGTGACATCCTGCTTAGGTCTGTTATATCACATGGGCAGCCAAAGGTGCTAGGCCTGCCCCTCAAGCACAGGCTTTCTGTAACACCAAAGCCAATAACAGTGATTGGGGCTGTGACCCCTCCCTTGCAGTGTCCCATCCTGATGTCAAAGCTGGTCAGCAGCTTCCTGGCTATGAGTACTACTTCCTGAACTTCCATCAGGATTCCACACTTGGTTCTCCTCCCCCAGTCATTTATTCTCACAACATCCCTGTGAGGTAGGTTATGGTGAGAGTTTGTGACTTAACAGCTGAGCAGATAGTTGAACCTGGCTCTTGCCAGTCTTAGCCACTACCCCACATAGCTTAAGGAAGCAGATAGTTCTGCCGTTACTCATTGGTGTTAGCCTTGGACATGTCCACCTTTTTGCACAACCTTGAGCTTGAACTATGCTTGAGTTTCGCAACATTCTGTTATACCAGTAACAGTCTAAATCTTCCCTTGCAGCCTGAGCACTGGGGCTTGAGCAATGATATGGATGGTTGCCGACCATGTGATTGTGACCAAGGAGGGGCGCTGAACAATAAGTAAGTCTCAAAGAAGCAACTTGCCATATTTTCCGCTGCATAAGACGCACCTGACCATAAGACGCACCTAGTTTTTAGGGGAAAACAAGAAAAAAAAGTATTCTGAACAAAACAGTGGGTGCGTGATTTTTGTGGTTCATGCTGTGGCCACAGACATGTGATTTGATGGTAAGTTTGGGGTAGCCCAGTGCAAAAATTCTGAGAATCCATGTGGATCCATGCTTTGTAACCACGTTTTTGCACCATTGCGGCCCCACGCAACAGTGGCTATGTGATTTCTTTGGTGCAGGCTGTAGCCATGGACATGCTATGTGATCTGATGGTGAATTTAGGGTGACCCAATGCAAAAATCCTGAGGATCCATGGGCTTTTACCTCCCCCCTCCCAGGCAGCTTCCTTTATCGCTAGCGTCCCTTATCTCTCTCCCGATCCCACTGATCAGCTGCTTCCTTTCAACACTCCCTTCCCTAGTTTGCCTTAGTGTCTTTTCCTTAGCTGGAGCAGTTTTTTGCTCCCCCCTTTCTTCTAATTTCTTTATTTATTGATTCATTGTCTCCTCCCTTTGCAAGTTTGCTGTCTTTACCTCCCCCCTCCCAGGCAGCCTCCTTTATTGCTAGTGTCCCTTATCTCGCTTCCAATCACTTGCGATCAGGTGCTTTGTTTAAACACCCACTTCCCTCTTTTTTTAAAAAAAAGCATGATCTGCTTTTCGCCCCTGGGCAATTTGGCTCCAGGGACCACGAAGACGCACAGACATTTCCTCTTACTTTTTAGGAAGAAAAAAGTGTGTCTTATGGAGCGAAAAAATACGGTACTTGGTTTTTCTTTTCTTTTCAGAAGCACCTGATTCAACTGCAACTTACCTCTGTTTTTAAAAACAATAATGATAATAATAAAAACAACACTTACTGTTTACATAGTGAATTTCAAGTATTTAAAGCATTTCACCATTGTTAGCTCAGTAATTCTTACAACAGCCCTGTATAGTACATCGATAATTTTATCACTATTTTGCAGATGGGAGAGGGGCAGGGCATGGATCCAAATTTAGTCATATTTTGAGTAGCGTAACTCTTGCCTAGGTCATGGCTAACTTAAATTCCATAAATTTCAGTAGGTCTTCTCTAAGCATGGCTGAATACAATCTGCCGGTGGCCGAGTCGCCTAGCCAGGATGTTTCCCAGCTGCATCTCTAGATAGTTAGATAATCATTTAAAGCTTTCCTGTTTAGTTACTCACTTCTACATGTGTTGAATGGAAAGGAGGAAGAATGCATGAGCCGAAGATCTGATTGCACTTAAATAAACCTCAAGGGCCAAGTAAATGTCCTGTTTTTTTCTTAATTTTGTTCAGTTAGTTAGTTTACACTTGGGAAATAACTATTGCACAATCAAATTACATCAACACAAATCTTTCTGTCATTTCAAACTTACTTGCCAATCTGTCTGAAGTAATCACAAAGAAGATAATTCCAGCAGGCTCATGTTTGTACCCCTGTTGTTGGCCCCTAGTTATTTGTTTTCCCATGCAAGTTTCAGATGTCCTCAGAAGTACTATTAAAATTGTTTGATAGAACCACGAAGCTGCCTACCCTTTGAATGTTAATGACACTGATTGCAAAACCATCTGAAAGTGGGTGTTGCCCACTAGCAGAAGTCAAGCCAATTCGCTTTTCCTTTTTGTCTCCCAAGAGAATGGGCTCATTCATCCTGAAGATTCTCCTTTAAAACTGCTGCAGTTAAGATGCCTATTCTTACAAGCCTCTTTTCTATTTTTACAACAGCCTGTCAGGAAGGATAGAGGGTCTTATTCCAAAAAGTTTCTAACTGCAGTTTTATCCAGCATAGATCATGGTGTCTTGATACAGTACCTGAAATGCACATCTGGGTTGGAATACTAACTTGTGATTTTGAATGCTGGAAAAATACAAGGGAAGCAAAACAAAGGATGGAGTTGTTGTTCAACCATAGGGTACTTTCCATAGTTGTTAAAATCTATCTGGGATAAATACAGAAATTTCACAGGAAGGAACAATGTTTAATTACAACAGTTTTTCCCCATGGAATTTCCCCCTCTGCCATAATTTGTATTCTGCCCCCAAAGTTTTAAGCTGACTCATGCAAGAAAATGCACTTGTATTTGAGTCTAAACATCTGTGCCAGCGTATCTCTCTGTGTCGTCCAAACAGTGGTGGGACTTAGCAGTACAATTTGTGATGGTTTATAGAATCATATAATTGTAGATGGTTGGACAGTGTCCTCGAAGCCACAAACATGAGTCTGACCAAACTGCGGGAGGCAGTGGAAGATAGGAGTGCCTGGCGTGCTCCGGTCCATGGGGTCACGAAGAGTCGGACACGACTAAACAACAACAACATAATTGTAGAATTGGATGGTACTTTGAATGAGAGCCATCTAGTCCAACTCCCAGCAATTCAGGTTGTATTGCTACAGTGTCAGTGGATCCTATTCTCAACCCTAATTTACTTTTGTGCATTGAATGGTTATAGGTTCTTTTAAATTTGTCTGTCTGTATTTGCTTTTAGAAGATTGCAATATAAATGCATTATCTTTTTCAGCTGCTCGAGTGAATCTGGTCAGTGTCAATGCAGGCCTCATATGATTGGCCGCCAGTGCAACGAAGTGGAACCAGGATATTTTTTCATTTCTTTAGATCATTATGTCTATGAGGCTGAGGAAGGCATCTTTGGCCCTGTGAGTACCTACTCAGTTAAACTTCCACAGGCCCTTTTCTAATGCTCTGATATTTCCATGTACGGTAATCTGTTCTGTTTCTAGCCTGTTGGTTTTACACTATACCTACCGAGGGACGCGGGTGGTCTAAACCACTAAGCCTCTTGGGCTTGCTAATTGGAAGGTCGGTGGTTCGAATCCCCGCAACGGGGTGAGCTCCTGTTGCATTGTCCCAGCTCCTGCCAACATAGCAGTTTGAAAGCATGCCAGTGCAAGTAGATAAATAGGTACTGCTGCGGCGGGAAGGTAAACAGCATTTCCGTGCACTCTGGCTTCTGTCATGGTGTTCTGTTGTGCCAGAAGCGGTTTTGTCATGCTGGCCACATGACCCAGAAAGCTGTCTGTGGGCAAACATCAGCTCCCTCAGCCTGAAAGTGAGATGAGCGCAGCACCCCATAGTTGCCTTTGAACTGGACTTAACCATCCATGGGTCTTTTACCTTTACTTTTTTCTTTTTTAAACTACACCTACCAGACATGGTCTGAAATAAACATGAGCTGTCTTAGGTGATCTGTTTAGGAAAGACAATGTGAAAATAAAAGTAAATAAATACAGTGTGCTAATGGGCCACTAGAGAGTTGGCCACTGGACCTTGATGGTTATGAGTTTTAGCAGTCTACACTGAGAAGGTATATGGGGCATGTACTAGAGCCAGGGTCTGCTTAGAGGCAGGTTCATCTAGAACACTGGCCTTCAGCTGGTAGGTTCTAACTCACAACTGGTTCATACCAGCAGCCATCTTGAATGACCATGTTTTGGAAAGAGGGAGAGAAGGAAAAAGGTACAGAGAGTAAGGGTGGAAAGATGGGTCTAAACAGAGTAAAGGTTAATATTAATGGTATAAGATTTTTTAAAAAGTAAAAAAGCATAATTATGTGTCTATGGAAGTTGAAGATCACTTGCTAAGTCTAACTTCTTATTTAGGAAGCTCATTCCATTTATGTTAGGTAAGGTATCTCCCTGAAACTGTCAGATATTGGAACAATGCTGCAGCTGAAGATTCCTGGCTTTAGTTATTTCATAAACATTAGCATTTCTGTTTTCTCTACAGTTCTATTATGCCTGATAAAGTGGTTAATAGTACAAGTGATTTTTGCACTTCATGTCTCATTACACTAAACAGAAGTAAATTTGTGCAGTATACTTTATCTCAATGAAGTGGCCTATGTAAATGTAGGAGAAGATGTAAACAAAAACATTTGTCAGCAAATAGGAATACGAAGGTCAAAATAACCTGTAGTGCCAGGTTCTTCTACTGTGTCTTTCCCTTCAATTCTTAGAAGGTGCATGTGCCAACTTAAAATAATATGTAATAACACCTGATTCTGTTCCACAGGGAGTGAGCATAGTTGAACGTCAGTATTCCCAGGATCGCATACCTTCATGGACTGGAATAGGATTTGTGAGAGTTCCTGAAGGAGCATTCCTGGAATTCTACATAGACAATATTCCTTACTCTATGGAGTATGAAGTTCTGATTCGCTATGAACCACAGGTAAATACCAACCCTAGACCCATGCTCTTTCATAGTGTTGAATCTGAGTGATGGAGTTTTCAAGAAGGTTTAAAGCCTGCCTATATAGGTTGATGTGGCTTGCTTTTCTTTTGTCTTAAGATCACGCAGATATTCCAGTGGCTATTTTAACAGCACTTAAGTCTACATTAGGCATAATAATCTCTCAAGTGTTCATCATTAACAATAGACCTCTGCACACATGTGGTGAAAGTGACTGTTCCTATTGTTCCTATTTTGCCTAAATATTCCAAATTTTCATATATTTAGCATTTTATTTGTATATTCTGCACGTAGTAGTATGCTGTTATGAGGAGAAAGAGTAAATAAACAGCAGTTGTGGTGTATGAGTAAGGGAAAGGAGTCAAGTGCATATAATCATGCAGAGTTCAGAAATGCTGGAGCATAGAATTTATTTTCTTTTCTTTTTAGATTTATCTAAGAAACTATGAGGGCTGAAACATTATTTTATTCCCCCCCCTCCCCCCAAGCCTAAGATGTTCCTCCTCCTGTTTGCAGAGGTTCAGAAAATGTCCAGACCTATTTATAGATTATTAATTATAGATTATTAACCATTTAAAGGGGACATGGGTGGCGCTGTGGTCTAAACCACTGAGCCTCTTGGGCTTGCCGATCAGAAGGTCGGCGGTTCGAATCCCCGTCATGGGGTGAGCTCCTGTTGCTCGGTCCCAGCTCCTGCCAACCTAGCAGTTTGAAAGCATGCCAAAAAGTGCAAGTAGATAAATAGGTACCGCTCCAGTGGGAAAGTAAACAGCGTTTCCGTGCACTGCTCTGGTTTCTCCAGAAGTGGCTTAGCCAGGCTGACCACATGACCCGGAAAAACTGCGGACAAATGTCAGCTCCCTAGGCCTGTAAAGCGAGATGAGTGCCACAACCCCAGAGTCGTCTGCAACTGGACTTAACTGTCAGGGGTCCTTTACCTTTTTAACTGCCATTTATACTGGATAAAATCTGGTGATTGTTTGCTAATAGGTAGCAGAGATAGCTACAAGTAGCAGCCCTGCGCATTTACTCAGAAGTGTATCCCACTGTCCAATGAGAATTCCTTCATTGTACTTACAGTAACTTACCATTGCTGCTAATACAGTCCCAGTTCCTGCATCAGGGGAGGAAATGGTTCATCTCCATGGAGAGAACTTTGATTACTGCTCAGCAAAGAAAATATGTTAATGTGTGCCAATTTTTCCAGTTACCAGATCAATGGGAGAAAGCTGTCATCACTGTATTTCGCCCAGACAAAATTTCAACCAGCAGCAGATGTGGCAATACAGTTCCAGATGATGACAACCAGGACGTATCGTTATCTCCTGGTTCAAGGTGAGTATCACAACAGAAGGATAAACAAAGGAGCAATGAAGACATGATGGGAGGCAGAGGGAGAATGAAAGGTTTGATTCCACATAATCAACAATCTCAGTCTAATCATTTGTTGTTTTAACATCCCATTTTTTTATCTCCAATGTATCCTTCTCTTCATGAACGTTGTGTCCGTCCTGGTCTTGCAGATACGTAGTCCTTCCACATCCCATATGCTTTGAAAAGGGTCTGAATTACACAGTTCGTCTGGAGCTGCCACAGTACTCCCATGATACGGAGGTGGAAAATCCATACACACTCATAGATTCTGTAAGTGCATGTTTAAATAAAAATCTGTTTACATAGTTTGCAACTTTACCCGCTTAAATAAAACTACATGCATTGTGCTTCCTCTCCATGAGCACAGAATTTTAGCACAAGTAGACTGCAAGCAGGGGCAGCCTTGAGAGAAGCAGTGTGAACGGATTCCTCCCCATGAGAGAAGGAAAGGCTCAGTGGCAATGGCTGTGATTTATTGTGGTTTGCCTGGAACACTGTGTGCCTTGCTGAGTGCCAGCAGGTGGTGAAAGGGGCAGGAGAATCAGTTCCATTGCACTTCACTCAGAAAGCTGTGAGAATAGGAAGGGATGGATTGTTCTTCCCCTTCCTCCACCTGTAACTTTCCCTAAGAACATCTTGTGTGTCAGGGGAAACTTTGGGAACTGTCACCAACAGTGTTGGTTGAGGGAGGGAAAGCAAAACACACTGCCGCTTATGTAGTAGCTCTTTTGTACCCCTAAACCAGTGGTGGTCAAACTTGGCCCTCCAGCTGTTTTTGGACTACAACTCCCATCGTCCCTAGCTAACAGGCCCAGTGGCCAGGGATGATGGGCATTGTAGTCCCAAAACAACTGGAGAGCCAAGTTTGGCCACCACTGCCCTAAACACTCCTTGGAAAGCATTTTTAGGAGACACTGTGCATATTAATGATCAACCATCTAATATTTTTTAACTATTGTAGATTTCTTTTTCTAACAATATCGCATGGCACTGTATTTTATACAAGGTTCGGCTACAGATCTAAATAGTAATTCTGCCATGTTAAAATCAACCCACAGCTTGTTCTCATGCCTTTTTGCAAATCCCTGGACATATTCTCAGTTGGAGGCAGAGGTGATGATGTGATGACTAACAGTGCCTGGGAAGCCTTTCAGAGATACCGGTGCCTGGAGAACAGCAGGAGTGTTGTTAAAACACCCATGACTGATGTTTGCAGGAATATCATTTTTAGCATCTCAGCCTTGCTACATGAGACAGCATTAGGTAAGTAGATGTAACTGATTTCACAAAGTGGGATTGGGGTTAACTAGGAGGAAAAGGCAGTGGCCATGTTTACTACCAAAATAAGTAGCCATCCACATGTTGTTGGACTCCATTATTCCGGCTTGCATGTCCAGTAGATGAGGGGAGTTGTAGTCCAACACCACTCGCAGGGCAACAGGTTTCCCAGCCCCTGTTAAACTTAGCATCTGAACAACCCCATTGATAGAAGACAGGACCCTGGGTAAATATATATAAGTGATTCATAAATGAAATTATTATCATCATCTTAATCAGAAATAATATTTAATATCTGTCCAATCAGGTTTACGCAGATCATTCCTTTACTAACCCATTGGCACCTTGCATAATACTATTGCTGCCAAGATGGCCCACACTTGTGCATTTGCCACTCCTGCAAAACCTGTGTCTTTCCCTCTTTCAGCTTGCCAGTGTGACCCACAAGGCTCATTAAGTTCTGTTTGTGACCCTAATGGAGGCCATTGCCAGTGTCGGCCAAATGTTGTTGGAAGAAGATGCGACAGATGTGCTCCAGGCACTTTTGGATTCGGACCTAGTGGATGCAAACGTACGTTGCTGCTTTATTCTAATCAAAATGTCATATGTTGCTGTTGTTTAGCCCTTACCCAGTAAGTTTGATTGAAAGGAAGAAGGAAAATCCCCTGAGCCCCTTTGTTTCAGTATACATCTGTAATAATCCATTAAGAAAATAAAACCTTCACTCTCCAAATGTCCTAGTGTCATCATAACTTCATGAATGTAAGCAATGTATCCAGTTTCAGTATCATTCAAGATGGATACCTATGTTCTTTTTAGCTTGTGAGTGTCACGTCCAAGCGTCAGTTAATGCTTTCTGCCACCCGGAGACTGGTCAGTGCCACTGTTTCCATGGAATATATGGCCGTCAGTGTGACAGATGCTTGCCTGGTTACTGGGGATTTCCAAGCTGCCAGCCCTGCCAGTGCAATGGTCATGCAGATGATTGTGACCCGTACAGCGGACAGTGTTTTAATTGCCGTGATCATACCTCTGGCCACAACTGTGAAAGGTATGCCTTCTTTTTGGATTAACTGGGATAGTCGTTAAATGATATATTACTTTTCAAGCAATATTTTATCATGCTGCCCTCTGAAATGCTGAGTTCAAACCCATTTACTTAGGCTGCACTTATTTGCAGAGGATATTTTGTAGATCAGATGCACTGATCTCCACTCTTCCTACTCCTACCACTACTCATTTCAAAATGATTCCTGCCTGTTTAAGGGCTGTGAATCTTGAGCACGCACACACTTTAATTGGCACCCGTTGTATAGTTTTCCAGCTTGGCCACTCTGCCTCAATTGCCTCTTCCTTTTTTTATTTTTTTACTCACAGAGAACTTAATTTTGCTTACACAGGTCCAAAGACTGCTCTAGGACTACCACAGTTATTTCTAGAGCCATCTGGAGTTTGGGGAAGGGGGGAAAGACAGCAAAGTAACCATTTGCAAGATCTTAGAAACGCAGCTCTTCTAAACTCTCAAAACTTTCAGCAGTGCACATTCGCTTGTGAACTGAAGTGTATGTTTATATGATACATGAAATAAATGGATTTGGTTTGGCACTCCTTCCACTAACATCAAGGAAGAGCCAATGAAAACATCTGTAAAATAGTGATTTTACAGATTATGGTGGGCTGCAAAAAACCTGCTGAACTGTGTGCTATGGACTGTCACCAGCCCATATCAGATATGCAAATATATGTGTGGCAATGAAGGGGAGCTCGCTCAGGGTGAGAGACTGGGAGAAGAGAGAGATGCTCCCAGGTAAGAGCTGGGAGGGCTCACCTTTTTCTGTATGGGATAAAAGTTAAGGTATATCTGTGAGAGAGGATCTTGTATTCTTCTTTCGCTTTTTTTCTTTTCAGTCTTTTTCTTTTTCTTTGTGTAGATTAGTTTGTGGGTTTTTTTGTATTGTGAGAATGTTTAATGAAACTTTACTATAAAAATAATAATAAAAGATATGCAAATATATGTGTTCTATTCCTTGGGCATGCTTAACAGACTTTTATGTTGTAAAATTAAGATGCCTTGGTGGTTATTATGGAGATCCTGTCCTGGGATCTGGGGATCACTGCCGTCCTTGTCCTTGCCCAGATGGGCCAGAAAGTGGCCGCCAGTTTGCCTCTGGCTGTTATCAAGAACGTTCTACTCTGCAGGTGGTGTGTGTCTGCGAGACAGGATATAAAGGTAAAATACCTTGTGAAACCAAGTAAGTTGTTGTTGTTGTTTAGTCGTTTAGTCGTGTCCGACTCTTCGTGACCCCATGGACCAGAGCACGCCAGGCACTCCAAGTATAGTGTATAGAAACCAAGTATAGTGTATGGAAACCAAGTATAGTGAATGCTATTAAATTGAAGCCATTTCAATGAGCATACATATTTTGATTATCACAAAGTGTCATATTTTACACTTACACTTACAATTATTATTATTGTTATTTTATTAAATTAGTTGCTCAATCTTAGGAATGGTTCACTTGTTAGTAATAATAATTCTACCATCAACAAATGTGCCATCCACATAAGTGATGCTTTATAAATAATATGTGGTGCTTTGTGCACCAAAGGCAGTGGCAGACTTTTGGGTCTCAAATTTGAGCAGCACCCTGTGTGACACCAAAATTTGGCAGACCCATCCACTTCTTTCCCCCCCATTCTTCAGCACAGTTCTTGGTGCCTCCGATGCTCCACCCCCAGTGCAACCAAATTGGTCATGTTCCCCTAAATCTGCCTCTGTTAAAGAGAAACTTTGAAACATTTTGAATGGAGCATAGACATAGCAACATATTAGGTTTCAAAATCTATGGAAAAAGCCAGATTCTCAACCAGCCTAAGTAATATTCTCTCTTCTGGCATGTGAATTGATAGTGGCTAATCTATCTGAAATCTTTCTGATGGTTTTCTTGTTTGTTGTGTGTTAAGTTTCTCCAGATAAACTTCCATCCTGCGTCTTAGCACATACCTTGATCTTTTCCTCCCCTTTATCATGCTTTCTTTTGTAGCTAATGTTTATGTTTGAGTGAGCTGAAGAGATTTCTTCTTCCTTTGATTTGGTTTGTTGAGCAGGGAGCAGATGTGGCGAGTGTGCTTCTGGTTTCTTTGGAAACCCTGAGGATGTTGGTGGAATTTGCCAGCCCTGCCAGTGCAACAACAACATTGACTCAACTGATCCGGAGGCCTGCGACAAGACGACTGGATTGTGCCTGAAGTGCTTGTATCACACAGAGGGTGAAAACTGCCAACTGTGTAAACACGGTTATTATGGCCGGGCTGTTCAGCAGGACTGTAGAAGTAAGTAGGGGAAGGTCTCTGCTGCTGACCTTTGCAAGCATCACTTTTATTCTTTTAAGCACGAAGGTATTATTTGGTGCACTGGGAATTTGCAGATTGGGAGCATAATCCTTCATTAAAGGTCAACAGATAACTCAAACCTAGTTTGAATGGGGCACTTAAGTGAAGAAGAACTCCAAGCCTGATCTTGAAAAGATGAGGCTTTTGTGTGAGAGAAGGCTTTCTTGTTAGCTTTCATTGTTTTCTTCTTATCAGGAGAAAAGCCCAGGCCATTTCCTGCAGCCCCTCAGGCTTTGGAGGAAGAAGAGGGGATTGTCTTTTGTTTACAGAGACATTCCTGGTAAAGAGTAGAAGTGGATTTCTGAAAAGTCATAGGGGGTGGGGAGAGAATATGCGCCATAACAAGCAACAATATTCAGAAATCCTCTTCTTCTACTCTTTGCTTTTCTGTTATATTTTATGCATCAGGCAGTAGTGAATAACCTCAGCTGATAGGTATAGAACTATATGTCTTAAGAAAAACGCTTAAAAGTGTGTGTTTAAAAGTTTTATGCTGTGAAGTGTGACCTAGAAACTAGCAGTATTTTAATGTTTAGATGTATGGACTGCCCCATCCCAAAGGCTTCAGGTATGCTTCCTTATCTATTAATCTTTTCAAAACAATCTCCTGAAGTAGATCAGTATCATTTCCATTTTAAACTTTGGGAATATACCATGAGAACTGGTTCTTGCTCTGTGCCTGCTTATGAGTCCATGGCTGAAGCAGTATTTTAATGCAAATCTCATAGTTCCTACCAGGTGGATAGTGGTTGTTTTGCTCCCCAAGAATGAAAAACCTAAAGAGAGTGAGTTTGTTGGATCAGGCGATGTTCACAAATGAGAGAAGCTGAGCTTTTGAATAATGCAGATAGTTGTGAGAATTCACTGAGAAAATTAAATTTTGAAACCTGACTTCAGCCCAGCAACTTCATTTTGCTTTGACATGTAGAGAGCAAGTGGGGGATATGTAGGAAATGACTCACAGATGCTGCTTATATTCTTGTGTCTGGAGCAGGGAAATGACAGCTGCTGGAGACATTTATGCTTGGTGGGCCTCTTTTTCTCCACACACCACCCCCCCCATACTAGGACCTCATTTTCACACCATTGTATATACCGGCCCACTAAACTCTCATCCTTCCTATAATCTTTTGGAAATATAAAAGTGGCTACAGAGAAATAAATCTTGTTCTGCTGGGGTTGGAATCTTTACGAAGATTTTTAACCAGTCTCTGGCCCAAGCCACTGTTCCACCCTGTCTGAAATCTGCTACCATTATACCCCTGCCAAAAACATCAAAGATAGACAGTCTGAATGATTTTCGCCCTGTGGCGCTGACACCCATTATAATGAAATGTTTCGAAAAACTGGTGAGGAAGCGCATCTTATCTTGTCTGCCAGTGGGACTTGACCCTTACCAGTTTGCGTATAAGGCAAAGAGATCCACAGAGGATGCTGTGGCAATGGCTTTACATGCTGTCCTGACTCATTTGGAGAAGCAAGGGAACTACGCGAGACTGTTATTTGTAGACTTTAGTTCTGCATTTAATACTATTCTTCCGCATAGATTGGTGCCCAAATTATTAGACCTGGGACTTCCACCATGTTTGTGCAGGTGGATATTAGACTTTCTATCAAACCGTTCCCAAAGGGTCAGGTTGGGTTCCCACGTCTCTGCGGATCTCATCACGAATACGGGGACGCCTCAGGGGTGCGTGTTGAGCCCGCTTTATACACGCTCTATACAGCTGACTGTGCCCCCAAATACCCCACTAATAAGATCATTAAGTTCGCAGATGATACAACGGTGGTTGGTTTAATTACGGCTGGAGAGGGGGAGACGGCCTATAGGAAGGAAGTTGAGCAGTTGGGGAGTGGTGCAGGAAAAACAACTTACTGCTTAACTTAAAGAAAACAAAAGAGATCATTGTGGACTTTAGGAAATGTAAATTGAATATTCGGCCACTTTTCATTGAGGGAAGTGCGTGGAACAGGTCTCAGTTTTTTGATTTCTGGGAATGGAGTTGAGAGACGACCTAACCTGGGGAGAGAACAGCAAAGACCTGGTGAAGAGAGCACAGCAGAGGTTATATTTTCTGAGAATCCTCCGGAAAAACAATCTCTCAAAGGACCTGTCGATGGCATTCTACCATTGCACTGTAGAGAGCGTACTAACTTATTGTCTGTGCGTGTGGTTTGGGAGCTGCACGGCCAGGGAAAAAACAATGCTATCCAGGGTTGTAAAGACTGCAGAGAGAATTATTGGGTGCACTCTTCCCACCTTAGATCAAATCTATGCTGCCAGGTGCCATAAGAAAGCGGCAGAGATAGCACATGATAGTACGCACCCCAGAAATGATCTCTTTCAGCTTCTGCCTTCTGGAAGAAGGTATAGGGTTATAAAGGCCAGGACTAGCCGCCTGAAAAACAGTTTCTACGCTAATGCAATTCTGGTTCTAAACGCAGCATAAGGGGTTTCTGTAGTATAGTGTGTTTTAAAATGGGGTTTTAGAGTTTTTAGGGGTTTTTGAATGTTTTATGTAGTTTTGTAGTAGTTTTATGTAGTTTTGTGGTAGTTTTATGTAGTTTTTATGTAGTTTTCAATTTCATTGTTCCGCAAGGGACAATGACAATAAAGATATCGTATCGTATCGTTGAGTTGTCCCAGCAAGACAGCAACTGTGGTGTGGTTCTGGCTTGCAGCCTCTGCCCCTTAGTCCCATTCCCCCATGTGGAAGTTAGGTTGAGAAAAACAATCTTATTGCACCAAAGGGAGGTTTTCCTCCCCCCAAAACTGGTTCTTGCAGATTTTTTTTCTTTTTTTTCTGGGACCTAAAACTGCCGGTCAGTTTAATCTGGATCCTGTGGCAGTTTATTTCCTGGGGTAAAATCCTAAAAAAACCTCAACAACAACTACTACTTCAATTCTAAAAAAAGGTCAACAACTTTGGTCAGCCCTTTGGTTGGCCCTCACGGCCCTTCACTTCATCAAATCTGGCCCTATATGAAAAAAGTTTGGACACCACTGACTTATGCCAATGGGAGCTTTTCTCTAAGCCTAATTGCTGAGGGAAGTGGTTGCTCTTTTTCCGAGATGGTGGCAGGGAAGGATTCATCCTCCCTTCCCTGCACTCAAAGAAATTATGCTTTGGGGGTTGGGATCAGGCAAGATCCCACTGCTGCCAATGGGAGCTTTGTTGCCGTGTCTTGATTGCCACACAAGGCACTTTTCATTGGAGTGGAAGCTGATAAGGGAAGTGTTAACCCTTCTCTTCCCATGAACTCTTATTTTGACAAAATACCACCCCCCCTGTGAAGGAAAAGCAAAAGAGAGGAGGCAACCTTTCCTACTACTGGCTTTGGCCTTGCCCACCCTGGTTGCGCAGCCTGGAAGAGATTATCCCCAGGGAACGTGACCCTTGATATCTCACAAAGCTTCTCCAAATCTGCTACAATGGCTTATTACATGTCGCAGTTTGATAACATATTAATCACCCAAGTGTACTGCAACATGTTACATTCTCTGCTCTTTCACCCCCAGAGTGTGTCTGCAACTACTTGGGAACAGTGCGTGAGCATTGCAACAGCACTGAAGAATGTCAGTGTGAGAAAGAAACTGGCCAATGCCAATGCCTTCCTAATGTGATTGGACAGAACTGTGACCACTGTGCCCCCAATACTTGGAGGTTGGCTAGTGGGACAGGGTGTGAACCATGTGGCTGTGATTCTGAACGTTCCTTTGGCTCATCTTGTAACGAGGTAAGAAAAGCTGATTGCTGTAGAGTCAGACCATTCAGGGCTAGCTCTGCTCTCCCACCGCTGCTACTACTACTATGACTACTACTCCTACTAATATTTTATTTATACCCTGGCCACTCTGGGTGGCTTCCAACACATAAAAACATAATAAAACATCAAACATTAATAGTAACAATCTGATCCAATATAAAAGTCACAATAACTTTAAAATAAACAACTTATATCAAACAAAGCAACATTCAACAATACATCAGAATCTAATAGTAAACAGTAAAATTAAACTTAGCACACTATCTCACATTTGAGAAGTTTAATAGCAGCAAGAACATGTGATGTTGATAATGGTAAGAATATGAGATAACAATAATAGTATGAGATCTAATGGTAGTGTTGGCCGTTCTATCTAATTTTTTTATTGCGTTTGCTTAAACTTGTATTCTGCCTTGATATTTCATCTGAATAGAGGGTGTAGAAACGTGTTTAGGAATTAAATAAATTCACATGCCACAGGGATTTTAAATAATCCAACAGAAAGCAACTCTGTGCATACTGAGCTCTGTGAGTTTTGTATGTACCAGTTTTGTTTGTTGTCTTAATATTGAGGAGCATTCAAATGCATGTTCTTGCAAAAGTCACACTATTTGAGTACAGTGGATGACTATTGTATCACAGTGTTTGGCAGTATGACAAATTGCTTTGTATTAGTGTTGAGAGAGAATTTCCAACAGGTTATTTTGGCCAGTGGCCCTGTGGGCTGTTTGCTTTAGCTTGACTTGCCTGCTTACATAAATCTATAGCTGCTTGTTCTGCTGGCATCATTTGTACATGGTGCCTGCTGCCTGCAAAATCCTGTTTGGACCTGACTTAATTTACCAGGGGAATCAGGGTCTGGTACATAAGATTGTCATGCTCTGGGACATGGCAATCAGCTGTGAGTGGTGCTGAAAAGTTACATCAAGGATAATGGTTAAAATTTAATATCCCATCAGATGTGATGATGCTTTAGATGTTTCTTGAAGAGCTATTGCTGCAGCAATAGCTACAATGCAGACTAGCTATGACTTGAAGTAAAAACCCATTCATTTCACTAATTCATTCATAATCACCTGATGATTTCCATAGAAGGTTGCATTAACAGTTGAAAACATTTCTCTACAGAGTTAGTGTGCCACACATTTGCACTTGGTATACAGTACTAGGAAGCAGCGGCCGACTGATCTGCTAACTCATGTTATATGCAGCAAAATACACACGTGTAATTGTCACACATAATGGGTTGCTCCCTAATTCTTACATGAAACCAAGAAGCTTGCTGATATTTCAAGTTCCTTTTCTCTCTATTAATGTGACATTCAACCTGATTTTTCTATTTACTGAGCCTTTGCAAGTATTCAGAGACCACAAAAGGTAATAACGGGAAGAGCATGCGCTCAAAACTATGTTGGTGTGGTATATTATGTATATTTGTGTATTCATTAATATGAACCATTGTAATTCCTTTGAAAATCTGATGAACTGTTAATACTAAAGGACCTAATACAGCTACTTGAAAGTGTTCTTCACCATAAGCTTGAAACCCTGCAAGTAACTGATATGAAGTCGGAAACAGTGGAATCTATTGTTTAGCCAACTTCTGTTATTGTAAAGATATGAAAGTTACAGAGAATGCTTGGTGTGGGAGATCCATATTTTCAAAAGGAATTGCAACTGAGGGAGAAGAATTTGAATTGACACTGTGGTACTGGAAAGGGCTTAATCCTTTCTCCTGTTCCACTTTTCCAAAGGAATATGTCTTTGTGTGATCTTTGACCTGCAGTCTCAGCTGCAAGGGGAACATCCTTTCTTGGGGAAACAGTGCAAGAAGTATTGGTTTTCTGAGTAGCCTCTTCCCGAGCTGCTATTGACTCTTAACAAAACTAACTGAGATCCTATCTAAGGATCTCCAGAGTCATGTGTACCATGTCCATAATTCTGATAGGTGGCCAGTTAACATTTTTAGCTCTTTTGACACTTAATGTATCGTATTGACAGATGGCTCTAGTGGCCTAATAAAGTCCCTGTGGCTTGTTCACTTTGTGAAATGCACCCTGTTCAGCTTATTTTTGTTGCATTTGTTTGAATTAACAGTTTACTGGGCAGTGCCAGTGCATGCCAGGATTTGGAGGGCGCACATGCAACGAGTGCCAGGAGTTTTTCTGGGGTGATCCTGGTGTGGACTGCCAAGGTGAGCACATTACTTTCATTGTTCCACGTGCATTATTAGCCTTTTGAAGGAGCACTTCTGTATGTGAAATCTGCATGCGTTTCCCATATTGTAGCTTCTGCTGCGGTTGGGAGCCTAGAGATAATTGCTGATAGCTTGCCCTGTGCCTATGCGTGTAGAAAGGAAACAAAGCAGCATTCATATCTGCTCCCTCATGCTATGTTGCAAGGAATTAGATACACGAGAGAACTATGATTCTATAGTGCATTCATTAGCCTCTTCATGTTGCAATGTTTGTTACTATACAGCACTTAAAAAAGAAGCTCACTGATCTTGGCTGGCTTTTTTAAAAATGCTATTTTTGTGAAACTAAATTTAATTCTAGTAAGGGTTTGGTTTTGAAGTGGATTTTTGCAGCTTTGTAACAGAAATGGCAGACTGGCTTTAGATGATAGAGATTTAGATGTTCATTTTCTAGTTTATAGTAGTTGGTTTTTTCATATTGTTAACAAAAATAATGTGAAAAGAGTATTTTCAGTTTTTCACATGGGGAGAAAAGTGTCTTCTCGTTTTGGTTCTGTAAGAAAAGCACAGCATAGAATAAAAGGGGAGCAGCACCTAGGTGTATAAATAAATTAAGAACTCATTTACTGAGGCATGCTTTGTAAATATGCCTGATCACTTCAATTGCTATCCAAACCAGAACACCATACACATTTAATGCCACTTAAAGCACATTACTTATGCCAAAGAACTCTGGGCACTGTAGTTCACCCTTAACAGAGCTACAATTCCCAGCACCCTGAACAAAATACAGTTCCCATCATTCTTTGGGGAAAGCCTCTTAGGCTTTCACATTGTGCCGTTAACTATGGTGGTTGCCTCACCTCTAAAAGGGTACTGAAGAGCTGGAAAGGGTTCAGAAAAGGGCAGTCAAAATGATCAAGGGGTTGGAAAGGTTCCAACTTTTGGGTCTTTTTTGTTTGCAGAAAAGGTAAGTAAGAGAGGGCATGATAGAAGTGTATAAAAGTATGCACAGTCTTGAGAAAGTGATAGAGAAAAGCTTTTCTGCCTCTCTCATAAAACTTGAACCCTGGAGTACCCAATTAAGCTGAGATTCAGGACAGACAGAATATAGTTCTCCATACAGTATATAGTTAAACTATGGAATTTGCTCTTAGAAGAGGTAGTGATGGCTACCAACTTGAATTACCGTATTTTTTGCTCTATAAGACTCGCTTTTTCCCTCCTAAAAAGTAAGGGGAAATGCGTGTGCGTCTTATGGAGCGAATGCAGGCTGCTTGGCTATCCCAGAAGCCAGAACAGCAAGAGGGATTGCTGCTTTCACTGCGCAGCGATCCCTCTTGCTGTTCTGGCTTCTGAGATTCAGAATTATTATTTTTCTTGTTTTCCTCCTCCAAAAACTAGGTGCGTCTTGTGGTCTGGTGCGTCTTATAGAGCGAAAAATACGGTACTTTAAGAGGAAGATTAGACAAATTCATGGAGCGTAAAACCTGAATGGCTACAAGCCACAACGGCTATGTTCTGCTTCCACTATTGGAAGCAATATGCCTCTGCTGAATAGAGATGGCAAGTCTAGTAACTGCAGACAATTGCACTCAGGTCCTTGTGAGTTTCCCATACACATCTGGTTGTTTACTGGGAGAAGAGAGTACTGAACCAGATGGGCCTCTAGTGTGATCCAACAGGGTGCTTCTTATTTTTTTAAATTCTGAAAAATTCAGATCTAGTCGTATTCACTGGATTTCAAACCAATTCCTGCTGAAGTGTGTATTTGCGTGAATCTGGGTATCTAGAAGCTGCATTTAAAAATTGTTTCCGCTGAATAAAAAGGCCCAAATAACTTCATTTTTTGGCATCAAGTATATAAAGGATTAGCCATTACACAGGGGGGAAATTGTGTTTAATGGGTAGGCTGGAATCAGATCAGAATTCTATTATCTTTCAAGACTAAATGACTTTGTTATAAGAGTCCAAATCCTACTGAATCCCCCAGATTTCCTCTTTCTGGAACAGCATGCCTAAGAGACAAAAATACTGGTTAGCTTGGGATTTAGCATTAAAATAGGGCATATTGCCAGGAGCTTTTGGAGTATTGTTTTAAATTAAAATGCAGTTGTGCTTGTTTTAATTCAACACAACTGCTAATATTTGCATTGTATGTATTATTGAATAAAAACCTCAAGAACAGGAAGAAGAGATGGGGGAAAGTTTTGTACTTATTGTTTTCTAACAATAGTAGTTACTGAAGGTAGGATATCTGAAATTTTCAGAAGTTTCTCAAAGGTGTACTTAGGTAGGTGCAGGTCTGTTTCTATGAAACAGGTTTAGAAAACATGTAAACACTTGCAAAACTCTAAAGCATCCCATCAACTGAGACCTGGTTCACAGGTATTCACAGGCTAGTTCACGGGTATTGTTTCTGTGACCTTCCAAGGTTATCTCAGGTTTCCAAGCCTGGTTTGAAAGGCAAGCACAAACCATAGATTGTTAGTTGAGATGTAATGACAAACTATGGTTTGCCTGGACTAGGAAGTAACTGACCCTGAACACACAAGGAGGAATAAAGCACTTAATTCTAGATTTTATAAGCTATGACTTGAAGGGTAGCAAACATTATGCAAGAACTATATTTCAGCTTGACTGCTGTTCAAAACTGTTTGCATGTGAGGATATACAGCATTAGGTAAAAGAAACTGGAGCATACATAGTTTAATTTTACTGACACCATTAATTCAGTTCAGACCTATGTTTTTAGCTAATATATATACTATCTCAGCCATCACCAACCTGATGTTCTCCAGATGCTTTGGACTACAACTCCCATAAGCTCCAGACAGCCAGATGTCTTTCAAGCGTGTTTTTTGTCCTCCATTGGGAAAATAAGATGTTTTTTGTCCTCCATTGGGAAAATAAGAATAACAACCTAATGATTTTGCATAAACGTCATCATCTACAAGATGTCTGTGTGCTACAGGGGTTGTCATAGCCAAATGAGGAAAAAAACAAGGGGAATTTTGCATTTTGGTACGTAAGATAAGAGACTTGCAATGTCTTCATCATGTTCTATGGAACTTGGGTGTCCTAGAGATCCCGTTCAATAAGAGTTTTCTAGCTACATACATTGTAATTGTGGAATGTATGAGATTTGGCTTCTTTACATTTTTATTAGGATTGTCTACTCCAGGCATCCAGATGTGCTACCTAGGGATTTGCACTGACGTTGTTTTTTTTAAAAAAACATTCCTCTATTCCACATGTGTATTGTTCTAATCAAGTACTGGATGATCCAGCAACAGTTAGTGTTCCCAAGTGTGTCCAGCACTAGGAAGTTCGCATGGGAATTTTCCAAGTACATGCTATCCTGATTTGATCCTCTAAAGAGTTTCTGAGGAGTATGGAATAGCTTTTTAGTGTTTATTCAATAGTCAAAAATAAAAACAAGAGAAAAATTGGGGGCCCTGAAGAACTGTAGCACACAGAAATTAGGTAGGAAATAGGATTGCACTTGATTCACTGCTAGTCATATAGGACTCATTTTTATTTGTATATTTACTTATATTTTACTATTACATTTATATACCACCTTTATCTTCCAAGGAGTTCAAAGTAGGGTACAAGGTTCTCCTTCCCATTTCATCCTCAACCCTGTGAGGTAGGTTAGGCTAAGAGATGGTGACTGGCCCAAGGTCTCTCAATGAGCTTTCATGGTTGATTGAGGATTCGAACCCTGGCCCAACACTCTAACCATTACACCAGGGAAATGCCATTGTTAGGTTCTTTAGGGGCACTGGATCATTTACAGAGCTCTGTACCAGGTTGATTGGTTATCTTGACAGATTTATTTTGACATATAAGCAGAAGAGGGATCAAATTATTTATCACTTTTAATTCTTCTGTAGTTACCTGTTCATACATAGCACTAAATTATGGTTTATTCAACTACACACACACACACACACACACGTACGTATTAAAAGTTCTGTATTATCCTTGTTACAACTGGAATTTGGTCTTTTCGTATACCATAAATGAACATGCAATTTTGTGTTCTGTTTATTATATTCATAAAAATGCCTCTGAATCACAGACATTTGAGGCAAAATCCCAATGCCTTCAAAGAAAAGATAAATATAAATGCCCATTCGTTTCAGTCTGATCAGGATCGTGTGCTGAAAAGCGAAACAAAAAATAACTTGACATGCTAAAATGGATTGAATGTGTAATGTGATATTATCTTGGGATCTTCAAGAGAAGGCAGCCATATATACTGGTGGGCTTCTGTTTTCGTTACACCCATGTAAGGAATCCGAATAATTCACCATTATCCAGATAGTCTAATTTCCCACAAAGTAATAATAGTTTACTGGTGGTGGAAAGGGTTAAGTGCCTCCTTTCCCCTTCAATCTTCAAAGAGGAATGAGTTGCCGGAGGGGGTTTAAGAGGGGGTTTATGTTCCATTGCAATTCACTGTGGGAATGCTGAAGTCTCTTTGATGGAAATAAAACCCCTTGTGTTGGCTTATAATTCTGAGAACAAAAAGGCCATTTTGTTAAATTGCACCAACATAAGTTGAACAGCAGGACAACACATTTTTTTTGTATCCTATGTATTGAATTCCTCTCTACAAGAAAGCTGGTTTTGTTTATGGTAACTTGTTCTTTTAAATGGTTTTTAAGAAACTTGGCCAAGAGATGTGAATATTTAAATAACAGTATGTGCCCAAAGTATTAGCCCAACCCGAAGCTTCCCTTTCTTACATGTTCTTATGGGAAGTTTGAATATTTGTGGAAGAAACCTTGACAATAGACCACAACATCCAGACAATACCTTACAGGATTCCTGATTGATGGATCATTTGCATATGTTAAATTTGTGATGCCTTTTTGAAGGATGTGGCATTTTCCTATGGGCTTTACATTGCTGGGAGTCAAACTCCTGTCATTTTGGATGCTGGCAGCATGTGCCTTTTAAAAATGATTCCATTTCATTTCACCTGTAGCTGTGATGGAAAGGATTCTCCCAACTGTCTCATTCCATGTTAAAATGAAGCTTTTCAACACTAGTAGCTTCTAGTTTTCTTGTCCTGCCTGGCTATTTGGGGTCAACTAATGGAAAGTGCCAACTACCTATTGATTGTAAATTCTATTTCTGCTACACTAATAAGCGCGGTCCAGAGCCATTCATATCCATGGGAGTTTTGTCATTGACCTTAGTGGGATGTAAAGTGCATTCATAGTGCAGACTGTTGGTCTTCAGACTGGTGGGACGGAACCTGCTGGTGGGTCATGGGTTGATTTAAAGTGGGTCACAACAGTAGCCATACAACATACCATCATGCGAATATATTTCAATAAATTAAGAAACATGGCTCCAAGGTCTGAAAATCTTGCAGACTACTGGTTTTTAGACTATAGTACAAATACTTTTGATGAGAAATAAAACAGCTAAACTTAACCAGTACTGCACTTTAAACCCTGTGGATTATCTCTGACCCACATGTGGGGAGCAGAAGCAAGAAAGGGAGGAGAATTGGGAGTGTCAGGAACAGGGAAGCACTCCCTTGTATCAGTTCACTAATTCACATTTAATTTGCACACATTTCACTTCTATTCCAACCTTCCTCCAAGGAATACAGGGCAGCAAACATGAGCCTCACAGCAACTTTCTGGAGCAGGACAGGCTAAGGTGTAAGACAGGCTTCAGTAGGGACATTATGGTTGGATAGAGATTTGAATGCAGATCTCGCTGGCGTTGGCATGCACAGCTATGGAGTGTGATCTGGACATTCGCCCACCAAATAGATGGATAATCCCCAAGCTGCAGGAGTAGCAATTTTTCAGGAGAATTGGCATGGTTTTGTTCATTTGTAAAACCGCCGCCTTATTTGGTGGTTCCCCGCCCCTGGTTTGTGGTGTCTCCATTTATTTTTGTCTCTTTTCAGCTTGTGACTGTGATCAACGTGGCATCCAGACCCCACAATGCAACCGCACGACTGGGCAATGCATCTGTAATGCAGGGGTTGAGGGAACCCGTTGCGATAAGTGCACCCGAGGCTACTCCGGCACCTTCCCAGACTGTGCACCATGTCACCAGTGTTTTGCTCTTTGGGATGTCATCATTAGTGAGCTGACTAACAGGACACAGAGATTCCTGGAAAGAGCGAAAGCCCTGAAAATCACAGGGCTCAGTGGTCCTTACCGGCAGACACTCAGCTCTGTGGAGGAAAAACTGAATGAGATTAAAAGTATCATTGCTCAAAATCCTGCTGCCGAGCCTCTTAAGAACATTGGAAATCTATTTGAGGAAGCAGAGTAAGTGTGGCATAAAACACAAATAGTGTTCTTTCGCATTTGCTCAGACATGGGGAGTGGGGATCTCGTCATTCTGCAATTTTAATTAGACTTGTAAGCAGAAAGTAAAGAAAAAGAAGGTTGGAACTGTGCCTTACAGTGATTATGGAAAATTTGAAGGAAACTGTGAAACTGCTTTTCAATTAACAAGGTGGCACACCTGTTCATTCCTTATCTTCTCCCTGAGTATAGGATAGAGACTTCCGTTAAAATGAAGGAATGTGGGATGAGAAATGATGTGCTTGAAATGTTCCGCCTCTAGCAAATTGCTCCTTCCTGTCCCTCCTTTCAGTCTAAGGAAGGGAAACTGCAAGACTGATTTGGTTTCTTGATACCACCAGTTGTTTTTGTAGCCTTAATGACAGTCGAGCAATTAAAGTAGCTTAACTGTATTAGGCAACTTAATTGGGTACAAATTAGGTGACTTAACTGTACCAACTTCTGTTAATGGATGATCATACAATCCTTTCAGGTTTTTAGTTTAACCTAACAGCTTGTGCACTTTCCCCTGCAGAACTTGGTCCTGCATAAGAAAAACCAAAATACATTACCCCTTTTAGTACTTTGTATGCATTCGGCACCGACCATTTCCCTTGGAGCGCTGTGCAATAATTTCCCCCCACTGCAGATGATAATTTAAGAATTAAGCACTGCTGAACATGTTTAGACATAATTTATACCCACCCTGATTTGTACTTTTATCAGTTGCGAAGACCTGTTGTATGCATGCCAAAAGAGAGGTTTCAAAAACTGCAGTTTCAAAATCTCAGGCTTGGCAGACGACCACAGCACAGTCTTGCCCAAGTGTTGTCTCGCAAGGGCTTTCAGTACCTTTTGTTTTCTGGCACTGTTATTCTTCAGGTGGTGCCAAATTATAAGCAACTCCTGTATGGATTAGCCTGTGTGAATCAACTTTCCCCCAGTATTATCAGTGTGGTCTTGCTTTGGTTTACTCGCCTACCCTGTTTGTGAGTTTTGCTTGCCATAATATAGATCTTACTACTGGATCTTCTTTATTTTTCAGTTATGCAGTTTTAAGGCACACACAGAGAAATTTCCCAAGAAAATATCCTGGAGAGTTAAAAATGCAAAAACAAAACAATTGCCATGCCCTAACAACTCCTTAATTCACATGCATCTTTGAAGAAAGAGTTCACTACATTCTCCCTTCCTTGCTAAACTGTTGTTGCATTTTTAAAGCTATAATAAGCAGCAGCATTTGAACACTAGTTTTCTACATTCAGTTTTCATTTGCAGAACAAATCAATCTCAAACGATGCATGATGGAGAGAAGTGTTCTTAATTCAGGGCCTAACTCTGACTACTTGCCCTTGTTGGTCCCACCCTAGGAACAAAAGAAGTCATGCTAGATCAGGCCAGAGGGCCATCGAGTCCTCGTTCTCACAATGGCCAACCAGGTGCCTATGGGAAGACTGCAAGTAGGAATTGAGTTGAACAGCACTCTCCCCACCTGGTATTACCAGCAATTGGTATATGAAGGCATACTCCCTTGGCCACTGGAAGTACCGTATTTTTCGCTCTATAGGACGCACCTTGTTTTGGAGGGGGAGAACAAGAAAAAAAATTCTCCTCCTCTCTGCTCAGCGCCCCTTCAGCGAAGCGGCAGGAGAAACGTAGCCCCTTCCATTTCTCCTCCCGTTTCGCTGAAGGGGCGCCGCGCAGCTCTCCCTCTCTGCTGAAGCCGGGAGAGTCTTGCTCTCCCGGCTTCAGCAAAAGGAACCCAAAGCCTTCGGAGCACAGCGCGAGGTCCCGCCGTGCTCCAAAGGCTTCAGGCAGCTATCCCTGAAGCCTGGAGAACGAGAGGGGTCGGTGCGCACCGACCCCTCTCGCTTTCCAGGCTTCAGCGAAAGCAACGCGTAGCCTCCAGAGCGCGGAGGGAGCGCTCCCACTGCGCTTTGGAGGCTTTGCGTTGCTATCGCTGAAGCCAAGGAGCCTGCATTCGCTCCATAGGACGCACACACATTTCCCCTTAATTTTTGGAGGGGAAAAAGTGTGCCCTATGGAGCGAAAAATACGGTATAATATTGCCATCATGTTGCCCTACCCTAAAAATTCCTACTGAGCTTTTGCACAAAACATTTTCCACTGGCATTTTCCACATGTGAGGGTTAGGGAAAGTGGGTCCTGTTCCCTGCTGTATGTGCATTTGGTGTAACTGAGGACTACAGAAGAACACAAATGCTGGGACAGTTGTTATAGTAGGGTTAAGGAGAATTTCCCCTTTTTAAAGCAAGATACCTTCCACAAATACATTAATATCTCATTTCATTTGTTCAGAGGTTGAGTCCATGCAGATAATGCACATGCCCAAGGACTGATTCTCTAGGCTTGGCAACTTCCCTCAAAATGTTGTTTATGTTCATTATGATGAGTCCTACTTTGTGTTAAACGTGGAGGAAGTCTACAGCACAGCCAGCTTCCATTTTGTCTCATATTTTACGGAATAAAATAATCTATTATGCATTGACCCTCCCACCCCTTAATCATAACTAGTTCGTCTGTGAAAGAGTCTGTGAAAAATAAATTAACAACCATTTGTTAACTATGTGGGATACAAAAGAAATTATGTATGGATTCTATGAGCCAATGCTATGACCTATGCAGTTGGCAAAGTTCAAGCACATTACAGCAGACTTCTGGAATCCAGATTGAGTTAAATCTCACACAAAACAGCTGTTCTCTGAGCTCTTTGCTGCTTTCTGCTTATAAAATGTGATTTTGTTTTTAAGCCACAAATTCTGATTAATGAGTATTTTGAGTAGGGAAGTTGTAACAAACTCATTAACCACATTCTTGGGGTGAAAAGGAAGGAATTAACCTATCATTTGGATTTATTTATATTTTAAATTCAAGGCCAGTAGGTTTTTGTTTTGTAACAATAAATGTTGGTTCTGTTTGGTTCACAGGAAGTTAACAGCAGATGTTACAGAAAAGATAGCTGAAGTAGAAGAAAAAGTATCCAAGGTGGCCTCTGAAAGCAATACCACAGACACTCAACTGAGCACCCTTGAGGCAGATGCAAAGAGCCTAGACAATGTTGTGAAAGAACTTGCAGAGCAACTAGAATTCATAAAAATATCTGATGTTCGGGGTCAGTGTTTGTATGCTTGTGTTTTGGGAATAAGTTTAATTAGGGGGGAGGAATCCAACCAAAATTAAGTGCTTTGATTTATCATTTATTTCAGAGCAACAAAATTAAGTTTGTGCTTAATATGCCCAGTCAATTATATGTGCTTAACGATGGCTGTAGCATGCCTTTCATTTTCTTGGAAGAGCACGCAGAGATCTTGGGTCTGTTGACTTCCAGGGCAATTACACCCAGTGTATTGTGTACATGCTTCTCATGTTACAATTTCAAATGAGGCCAGCCAGAATACTCAATAATCATCACATTGGGTTTTTGCAGGAGCCTTGGACAGCATCACCCAGTATTTCCAGAGGTCCCTGGATGCTGAAAGGAGAGCCAATGCCTCAACTCTTCTTCCTGGTAGCGTAGTAGAGCAGTCAGCTGAAATGCGCCTAGAGGTGGAGAGCTTGATGAATGAGACTGAGGCCAGCTTCAAGGTTAAGCAAGAAGAGCAGTCACGCCTCTTGGATGAACTTGCAGGCAAGCTCCAAAGTCTGGATCTTGCAGAAGTGTCTGAGAAGGTAAAGTGCAGAGCCTTTGGTAAAAGGGCCAGTGACTGCAGAAAAGGGCCAGAGAATGGTCATAAAACAAGAAGAGCTAAAAGACAGGAGCAGCGTTGAATATGCTGCATGTAAATGGAAAAGTGTGAGAGCTGCAGTTGGGCACATTGCAATGGATTACAGAGGCTAATGTGCTCTTTTACAGATACATTACAAATGAGGCACATATAAAGAAAACTAAAGCCCTATTTAGGCAGTCACCTTCATGTATGGTGTAACAGGGAGAGAGGGGCTATTCTGTGTGGGGTGGTGGGCATTTCAAATTCCTGATCCCATCCACCCATGTATTGGGTGCTGAAGTGTGGAAGGGGGCAATAAAATCCCTCCTGCATAACAAGAGAACATAAATGAGAAGAGGGTCTAACCGGGCAGCCACTTTCTGGAACAAAAAAGAATGAGAATTCCACACCTTTGGACCATTCAGTAATGATTGGAACGAAGTTTTAAAAAAGAAGGGACCAATGTTTTCCACAAGAAGGGAGTTTTGGGTTACAGCCACTGGCTTGAGAATATCTAATAAAAGTTCATTTTTTTCAGTTACTGGAAATTAGTAAGAACATAAGATGAGTCTGTTGGTTCAGGCCAATGACCCATCTAGGCCAGATCCTGTTCTCAGTGGCTGACCAGATGCATGTGCAAGTTGAACATGAGTGCAACAGCTGAAATCTGACCACCTGGTAATCAGAAGCACAGTACCTCTAACGATGGAGGTAGAACATGGCTATTATGGCTGCTAGCAACTGATAGCCTTGTCCTCCATGAATTTGCCTGATCCTCTTTTAAAACCATCCAGTTTGAGGACCATCATTGCCTCCTGTGGCGCAAGTTCCACAGCTTAGCTGTGTGTTGAGTGAAGAAGTACTTTCTTTTATCTGTTCTGAATCTTCCAGTGTTCAGCTTCATTGGATGCTCAGTGTTATGAGCGGGTGAGAATGCCTTTTCTTTACCCACTTTCTCCATGCTATGCAGAATTTCTTAAAATTCTCTAAACTCAAAAGTCCGAAGAAGCTGCAACCTTTCCTCATAGTCATTCCACCCCTTAATCATTTTGGTTTCCCTTTTCTGAACCATTTGGAACTCTACAATATCATTTTCTTGAGACTGTGCACTGTACCTGACAAGATAGCTAACCTAGGTAAATGGAGAGACACTTACTGCTCTGTCTAGCAACCTCACCCACCCACCCTGGTTTTAAGAAAATGCTAACCTTTCACTTTTGTTCATTCTTTTCTTGGGGTTGCCCAAAGGCAACTGCTGTTGTCAACATTCTGCTGTCAGTTATAATTAAAAGTAACATACTGTAGGCATAAGGTGGGCTAATCACTTCCCTAAAGCAAACTAGTGTGGCCAAGGTACCGCTCTCCCAAGGTGGAATAATTTCATGCTAACCCCTTCTCCTTTTCAAATGGGAATACTAAACTGTATCGAAATCTGATAGCCATGAAAGAAAACTGCACATGCAAATCCTGGTTACGTGCGTCTCAAAGGCCAATACAAACACTGAGGGGGCATAATTATTCACTGCCCGAGCTGGAGCAGTGCCCCTATGAGGAAAGGTCACCATGCTTGGGGCTTTTGTGTTTAGAAAAACAGGCCAGTACAGAAAGGAGCATCATAGAGGCGAAGAGAGTAGCAGGAGAATAAACATTTTCTAACAGCCTTTGTGTTCTCGATGGGGCTCTGGAAATTTGTCAAGCCGCAACTAATAGGATAGGGCTTTAGGGAGCTGGCTCGGAAATTTGTTTGGAAAGGGTGATAACCTCACCGCCACCCCACTCTTTCCTCTGTCTAATCCTGTCTGCTGCAGACGTGCGGAACTCCCCTCGGGGCTTCCTGTGCTGATTCAGAATGTGGTGGCCTGAGCTGCCGCACAGAAGATGGGAAAAGGAAGTGTGGAGGACCAGGCTGTGATGGGTTGGTTACTGTGGCCCACGATACCTGGCAGAAGGCGATGGATTTCGACAGAGACATACTCAGCGCTTTGGCAGAAGTTGAACAGCTCTCCAGAATGGTGATTTTATTATTGACTGTTGTTTTTAAAAGGTAGATCAACCAGAATGAATTTTAGAATAGTAATAAAAAGCTTAATCAGCAGATTGGGCAAGTCTGGACAATTGCAAACAAAACTTCTCCCCAAAATAATTGGTTCTTTACAGTTTGCATGATCCTGCTAAGTACCCTCATTAAAGAAAAAGGTCTGGCTTAAATAGAGATTCCTATGAGTACTACACAAAGCATCTTGGGCTGTTTAAAATATTGTTGTGTTTACATCAATTTAAGAGAGTTCTCTAACTTTTATGAAAACCGCTCTCACACAGCTTCAATGCTGACGAATTGCTTTCTCAATGTCTCTTCTTTTTATCCCTGAGCATTTTTTAAGATTGTCAGAAATAGAAAATAATGGCCCATTTATTTCACTTAGGTCTCAGAGGCAAAACAGAGAGCAGACGAAGCAAAACAGAATGCACAAGAGGTTCTCCTAAAAACCAACGCCACCAAAGAGCAAGTGGACCGGAGCAACAAGGATCTGCGGAATCTTATTAAGCAAATCAGGGAATTTCTGATGAGTAAGCCTTGTTTTAATATGGTTAGCCTGCTGTTTTGGGACTGTTGTGAATAAGCGCTTCCTCTTCTTAACCTAGTATTTTAATTATGCACATTTATTCAATTGCATGTACTTATATGAGACATTCCAAAGTCATGCGTAAACAAAAGGGTTTTCACTTTGTGCCTAGATTAAATCATTGCAACAGTTTTCTGGGGGGAATCCCATAGTATCTTTCCCATTCAAGCACCTCTCTCTTCCTTGGGACCATGTCCTCCTTTCCTAAGTTCCCATGCTTCCCTGTTGCTGCTGGACAGGCAGACCAAGCCTGCTTTGGGTGTGTTTCTACTTCCTTCATTTATGTGTCTCCTGCCTGTTCTAGCCAATAGCTTTATGACTGTCCCATCCAATTCTGGCATCAGGGCAGCTCAGCTAATCACCGGTAGTGACTTCACTTCTCCCACTCCAACCCTTACTGTGTTACCATACAAAAGTGTACTGATGATTTGAACATCCTCTGAAGGCAGGAAACTGCGATGGGGCAACACGAAGAACTGCTTTTCCTCACATTCCACGATCAGTACACTTAGTGCTGAAGTGACTTTATTCATGGTACTTTGTGCGCTGAGAACCTGGATCAAAGTATTTGGGTTTTTCTAGGAGGAAAGTAGTTTGCAGAGTACAGATATAAATCCACCCACAAAGATTTAACTAGTGGCAACAAAGAGCAGTAAGATCATTATTCTTTGAAGAAGTTGGAATACGCTGCTCCCTTTTAACAGCATCCAAGATTGCTGGCCCAGAACATGTGGAACAGCTTATATAACTGCTTCAGCTCATCATACCAGCCTGATTAACTGCGTAGCATCACTCCTGTACAGGCAAAAAAATGGCTATGCAACACGATAGACGTTCACTTTTAGTGGAGATATATATATATATATATATATATGCATGCAGAAACAGGATTTTTATCTGCTCCATGCAGTGTTGCATGCACATACACTCTCTCTCTTGACTTCTTCATCCATATAAGTCATAGAATGCATGAGCACCTTTTGTTATATAAGCTACAATGTTATATCAATTGATCAGAGATTGAAGTAAGTTGAATGCAGGATGGAATGACCTGCATAATTTTAACTCTCCATATTACTCAAAAGTAATTTTGTCACTGACAGAAAGTTCATTACACTTGCTATGATACATTATTGATCAGAACCCACCACATGCCTGAGGCCGTCATTTATTTTTGATGTTACTTCCATCTGCCATTGCCCTTTGGCAAGAATTCCTTCCCAATACTCAACTGCCTGATCAGATGCGAGATTCTTGAGACGTCTTAGAAATTCATCAAAGCTAAAGCACTTCCAAAGAGTGTGGACTTTTATACCTTTTTTTATTATTATTAAAAAGTGCCACCTGGCCCCTGTTTTTTCTTGGCTTTATAGGAAATAAAACGTGATGAGGAAGGGAGCCATCTCACTCACTGTTTCTGTTTACCATTTCAACAGAAGACAGTGCTGATCTGGACAGCATTGAGGCAGTTGCTAACGAAGTGCTCAACATGGAGATGCCCAGCACACCTGAGCAGTTGCAAACACTTGCAGATAATATTCGTGAACGGGTGGAGAGCCTTTCGGATGTCGAGACTGTCCTACAGCAGAGTGCCGGAGACATAGCAAGGGCAAAAACGCTGTTAGATGAAGCTAAAAAAGCCAGGTACCAATTTTTTACTCCCTCTTGCTCTGAAACAGGCTGTCTTTTTTACCTTTCAGCAGAATCCTAAGAGAATATATTTGTGCCCTGAAAAGCGTTCAGTATTTAATAAGCATGTTGAGAAACTGGGAGTTAAGTTTAGCCTGTTGCATATTCTTTGAAAAGGCCAACCCAAAAGAATCCTTTTTAAGGAGAGCCTGTTTAACACAGTCCTTTTGTAATTAATTTCCATTCCATAGTAAAAGTGCAACAGATGTCAAAGTCACTGCAGACATGGCGAAAGAAGCTCTGGAAGAAGCCGAAAAAGCCCAAGATGCAGCTGAAAAGGCCATCAAACTAGCAGATGAAGACATCCAAGGAACACAAGACCTACTTACCTCTGTGAGTTTCAGCCACCTAAATCTGCTTTTGGAAGCAGAGTTATGGCCATGTATGTTCTCGTGCTGTTTTACTTTTCTACAGGATACACAATAATCTTATCTTCTGGTTCATTCTATTATCGCCTAATACTATCTGTTCCTTAAATCAGTGTTTCAATATAGCTAGGCTTTGTCTAGAAAAGTACAGAAACCGAGAAAACAAGAACAGCAGATGGTTGATGGCTGATTTGGGGTGGGATGGACAAGAAGCAGAAAATCCGTTCACCACCCTTTGTACAAAAGCAGTGGAGGTAGAATGGAAGAAAGCCTTTGTTGCTAATGTACTGGCCCTGTTACATGCTCAGTCAGATACGGTGCCACAAGCATTAATCACTTGCATCCAGGTTGTTTGTCTTGCTGCCTCGATAATCTGATCTTCCTTTTATACCATGGTAGAGGAAATGCAAAGGTGGTCAGAAGGGGTTCCTGTGTCAGTGATCTGTGTTGGCAGTCGGGTCCAGAGACAGAAAAGGCAATCCATAGGAAAGAAATCAGTGAAAAACTCTGGCAACCCATTTAGAGCATTGGTTGAACCATTATGACTAGCCTATCTGCACCCTGAATTAAGATTGCAATTCAGCTTTTTACCCCATATGATGATGGTCTCAACATAGCAAGCAAACTTTCAATACTCCCCTTATATCAAGTTGTACATAACAGCTGTTGGTTTAGGCAGGGAGTTGCTGGAAATATTAGGGGTGCGGGTGGCACTGTGGGTTAAACCACAGAGCCTAGGGCTTGCCGATCAGAAGGTCGGCAGTTCGAATCCCCACGACGGGGTGAGCTCCCGTGGCTCGGTCCCTGCTCCTGCCAACCTAGCAGTTTGAAAGCACATCAAAGTGCAAGTAGATAAATAGGTACCGCTCCGGCGGGAAGGTAAACGGCGTTTCCGTGCGCTGCTCTGGTTCGCCAGAAACAGCTTAGTCATGCTGGCCACATGACTCGGAAGCTGTATGCCAGCTTCCTCAGCCAGTAAAGCGAGATGAGCGCTGCAACCCCAGAGTCATCTGCGACTGGACCTAATGGTCAGGGGTCCCTTTACCTTTTGCTGGAAATAGGGCATTTTTTAAGCCATGACAGCAGCAAAACAACTCTCTGCCGCTTAAATTACACTGCTGAAATAAAGAAAGCTTGGGTAACAGAGAGTGGATTTTTGTCTGGAAGGATTGGTGAGCTGTAGTCTCAAACATTTTTAATTCTTAGTGTGCCTTTTGCCCCAGGCTGATTGAGATACCTTGGGCTTATAGTAAAATAAAAACTGTAGGTCCTGCAAGCGTGGTGCCTGCCCTGCCTAGATGACAATTGCACTTAGGCCTATCTTGGTACTACTTCTTTCATCCAGCTAGGCCAGAGCTTTCCAAACTTTTCATGTTGGTGAGACACTTTTTCGACATGCATCACTTCTCAACATAGTAATTTAGTTTTACTAGGAAACACAAGCTTAAACTAACCCCTTTCCAGCCCCGGGAGGAGCGTTAATGCTACACACCTACACACTGCAGCCGACGCACTAATGTGTTGTGACACAGAGTTTGGAAAGCTCTGAACTAGATAGACCTTGGTGATATATGGCAGATTGGTAGCCATGCCCTTGCTCAAATCATAGGATCTCTCTTTTCTCTTCGTAAGCTGGATTTAGTAATAAGCCGAATGAGTGATTTACTACTGAATTCGATTTGGGACACTGTTAACAGGCAGCAAAGCTACCATCTACATTCCCTTCCCCTGAAACCCCTCCTTCCTCCAATTGCTTTGCTCACAATTCAGTGCACCAAAAGGCAGCACAGCAACTTAACTCAATAGGGTTTAAGCATCTAACTGTACTTAGTTCAAAGGCTGTAATGGAGGGGGTCACAGCTCAACAGTAGAGCATCTGCTTTGCATGCAGATGATCCCAACTTCTATTCCCCAGCAGTGTCTCATGGAAGTGTACTGTACAGAACAGGCATAGGCAAACTCAGCCCTCCATATGTTTTGGGACTACAACTCCCATCATCCCTGACCACTAGTCCTGTTAGCTAGGGATTATGGGAGTTGTAGTCCCAAAACATCTGGAGGGCCAAGTTTGCCTAAGCCTGGTATAGAACAACAAAATAATTATTGGACAGGGTACCCTGGTCTTCCATTACTAATCCCTCATTTTTGCAAGAAGACCACAACCACCTCTTCCCACTGGGCCGGAGAAAAACTATCAGCTGTATAGCAGCAACATCCCAGGTCAGTGGAAAGGAAAGGAAGGCAAGTGTCACCTCATGCAGTTGATGAAAGCTGGGGAAAAGAAGAGGAAAAGCATAAGCCTGCCACAACGCAGAGACTTAACGTTTGGAAAACTTTGTAAGCTGAGCAAGTATGTCGTTAAAGTACTGTGGTTTGGGAAGAAATTTGTGCATCATGTTCTCATTTGCAATGCTAGATTGAATCTGAAACTGCAGCTTCGGAAGAAACTCTGAACAACGCCACTCTGCGCATAGCTGAGCTAGAGAAGAACGTGGAAGTGCTTCGACAAAAGACTGCTACAAACATAGAGGACATTAGAGCAGCCGAAGAAACTGTTGCGACTGTGAATCAAAGTACCACAGATATCAAAAGAGTAAGGCTCTCCATTTGAAATTACTTTCTATGTTCTCAAGAAACAAAGGCATTTTCTTAGGTACCAGCTTGTGTTGTCTGGTTTGCCCTCGAATTTGTAAGTAAAATCAGGCCTGGCCAAAGATACTATCAAAGCAGTTTGGCCATAACACAATGCAAACCACCAGACTGTAAAAAGCATGTGCCATTTTAACTGTTGTGTGAAGTGCATCTCACTATCCCATGGAACTGAATGAGGTTTTCTTGAGGCAGGAATCTGACATTCCATTTTCAGTGGTGGTTAAAAGTGCTTCACATCTTGAGAGCACACATAACTTTATGCAGCGGTGAGCTATGCATTCTTGCTTGCATGGCTATTGGGACTGTGTAATTCCTGGGCAGGAAGCTAGCTAAACCAGGCACAACTCAGTGAGTCCTCTTACTTAGATGGCTGGAAGCCACATCTAGGTACATGCTTCACCTCAAGAGCATAGCAAGAACAGCAAAGAATTGTTCCTGTTACGAAGGCTCCAGATTTTCTGGCCATGTATATGGGTGATGTAAGACAGTAGTAAAGAAGCTTCACTTTGTAGGCTTAATTAGGCCCACTAGGCCTATTTGACTGAAGCCATGCCCACCGTTCAGCACCTTACTTTCTGTAACATCAGGCTCAGAACTGTGCAGTCACTGGTACCAATTGCATTCGGCACTTTTCTGATGCCATGCGGCAACAAAGTAAGGTGCTAAATTTGAAAAAGGCATTGAATTAGAGCTACAGAGAAAGTACTGGAACCGTGGAGTACGCTCTCGATTCTTCATTTTAAGTACCACTTGATAAGCCACCCACCTGTCAAAAGTTGACTCTGGAGGTTGGGCAGAGGCCCCCCCATTTTGGGATCTAAGGCAAAGCACTATATGGTGTTCCCCTTTCCTTGCCAAGGAAGAGGAGGTAACGAAGATCTACATCAGGAACAAGGGAATAGATAATGGCAGGATCTTCTGTCACTATGGATCCTGATGTCTGAGGCTGTCACCTCATCTTGCCTCATGGGGGGCTGGGCCTGAGGATGAGGCAGTTCTGGATCAGTCTCACCCACTGGATCCAGCACCTCACACCAGTGTAATGCAATGGCTTATGAAAACACCTGCTTGCAGGATTGGATAGTCGTTTATTTCTATTTAAAAACAGCTGTGGCAAACATTGTCTGTTGAAGGAAGTCTTGGTCCATTCTTAAAATTGGAAGTCAGCTACTGCCAATAGGGAGCAGGACCTTTATTTTCATTTCCAAAAAGAGTATGGACACTAGTGTGTGTATCTACTCCAGCTGTGACCCATATTTAAAGGCTGGGAACAACAAACCACAGTTTTTTCTTCTTCTCATGGGGTAAAGAGAGTAGAAGGGAAGGGATGCTTTGAACGATACTGAAAGAGAGGTCCATTTCCATGGACTCCACTCAGGATGTGTGTGGTCTCTGCTCAGTAGATCCTTAGTAAGAGTGAAAGTAGGATGTCAAAGAATGTTCTATTTCTGTGTCCTGAGTAATACTGCCACCTTGTGTCTCAAATCGCAGGTACTAGATAACGATGTGGACGACAAGTATAGGACAGTAGAAAGCTTAATTGCCAAGAAATCAAGCGAGTCTGCAGCTGCCAGGAAGAAAGCAGAGGCACTACAGAATGAAGCTAAAACACTGCTAGAACAAGCAAACAGCAAACTTCAGCAGCTCAAGGGTAAAGTCCAATATGGAAAAAGGGGTTGAATATTTCTTTAGAACTGCCATATGTTCTCAGTTACAGCTGAGCACTCCTTCCCCACCTCCTAAGCCCATTTCCGCAGCACCGTGACGTAAAACACCATCATCGCCATCATCAAAGACAGCTGTTTCTCCTTTTTATTAGAAGCCTCTCACATTCTGTAAAAGCCAAATAACTGGGTACAATGGGGTTTGACTTCTTTCCAATTCCACCTTTACTTTGGCTTTCAAACTACCCAACATGTAGTGTCTGCTGTTGGAATAACCTGACTCTTCTCCCTCTCCCTCCCCCCCCCCCGTTTTTTCTTTCTTTGCAGAATTGGAAAACACATATGAGAAGAATCAAAGAATTCTGGAAGACAAAGCCAAGCAAGTGGTGCAGCTGGAAGAAACAGTCCGCAGCCTCTTGCAGGCCATCAGCCAAAAAGTTGCTGTTTACAGCACTTGCTAGTAACTGATTGGAAAATGGAACCAGAAAAAAAACCTTTGGAAGGGGAACATGTAAATCCAAAGAGAGAGAAGTCTTAAATTGAAACTGATGTACATTCTTTTCATACCTTAAGACCTGATAATTTGACTAAATACCAGCTTTAATATCTTAAAACCAAAGACTTTCTCTTTTACTTAATAAACAGTACTTTTGTAACAAAGCATATGATTCATTTAACCAGTGTTACATTCATTATCCCGAAATGGTATTTTAACCCTTTTAAGTACTCTGATAATAAAATCTTAAGATGGGAAGTTAATTTCAATTTAAAGAGTTCTGCTTAAGAGTTTATGAATGCAGCTCCAGAACTTCCTCTGCTAAGTCAACAGATGTTAGGAAAGTGAAACACTTCATAAAGCCATAGAGGACCAAACATTTGCAGAATCAGAATGAGGGAAAAAGATGCGTGAAACAAGACAGAAACATAATTTATTTCATTGTGTTTTGACTGTCACTGTATCAGGTGCTTGCTTGCCTTAGCACTCCCTGGAACAAGTGCTAATTTTTGCCTGCAAGACCTGAGTTTTGATATTATGTATTTGTACTCTTTGGAAAACAGTAGAAAATAAAATACCCTTTTTACATTAGCTGAGGTGTCTGCATGAGTTAAAGGGTGTGTGTGAACCCTTAGGACCATAAGATCCCTGAACCAGTGCCATCCAGGAAGCAAATCCTAGTATTCGAGTTTTTTTCTGATCTCCCCCTTGTTTGAACAGAATCATTCCCCCACTATTTCTAACAAAGGAAGTGTTAAGAATGCCACCATATAAATGAGCTGATAATGTACCATGAATTATTTTTATGCAACTCTAGGGATAAGAAAAGTGATCCTCCACCACAATAGAGGTCATGAAATCTAGTATGTGAAGCGCAGGCACAGGGAGAGAAGCAGGGAAACTGCATCATGGATTCAGCTGTGCATAAAGCCAAAAATGTTGGCCTGCTTTGTGCAACAGCTTTGTATGAACTCTTCCACTTGCCTTCCACACAGTGTATTTTTTTTATATACCAATTTTTGTTTCTCCAAAAGAACTTGATTTTCTTTCAATAAGTTTCACAAAAATGGAGGTGTGTTTCCATTTTTAAAAAACGTATCGATACAAATGGCTGTTCACAGAGCAAAACAAGCTGTACGCATTTTGTCCTACATATCAAGAAGAGCCAAGACAAAGACTAGCCTTGGTTAAAAAATAACTTTAAAAAGATTGTGACGCGTTGAAACCTATTGCTATTCCTCTCACTGAAATTACCACGACAGCATTGTGCAAAGGTGACAGTGGCATATTTTAAGTATCATGATATTACAGTATCAGTTCCTCAGCAATGACAGAACAGCAACACTGGATAGTATCAACAATTATATTTTGCCCAAGAACATGATGGACTCTTTTTAAGCACGCTACAACCTTAAGCTGTCATTGCTGTAGCTTGTCTTCTGCAGAAACCTAGAATGTACAAACAAGCAAACATACTTAATGTACAGCCGTTGGGTGATTTCCCAACCCCAAATCTGTTTAAATAGCTCATGTTGAAAAGAAAAGTTCACTTAGTTAAGTCCCAGAAGTTTTCAAATGACAGCTTTTCACAAAGCCTCCTGTCAGTTTTCAAAGGAAAATATGCTTTGTGCGTTAACTGTATCCTTTTGCTTTAGAAATTGATCGCTTTGCCAAATGATGCTGCTAGGTTGGCTTCCCTGAAGGCTTCAGACACAGTCTGTTGAGAACAAAAGAAAGTAATTAGGAAAAGGTAATGGGGGTCACGAAGAGTTGGACACAACTAAACAACAATGGGGGGGGGAACCTTGCAATTATCTGGATCTTCAATTAACCCACAGAGACAAAAATGACTAGACAGCTCACACCAACTTACTGGATGTGCGTGACAAACTCTGGCAACATCTTCACACGATGCTCCATATTCCATTGCAAGAGCAGCTTCATTAATCATTTCTCCAGCACCCTGGAGGGAGAGAAATTATTATGATGCAAGTAATAAATCTATGAGAAAAAATTAAAAGCAGAGGTACAGAGAACTATAAATAGAGCTCTGTGTATTCTGTATTTTTAAAAAGATTATCAAAATTTGGTGTCAAATCTGATTTGCATTACCGTATTTTTCGCTCTATAAGACGCACCAGACCACAAGACGCACCTAGTTTTTGGAGGAGGAAAACAAGAAAAAAAATATTCTGAATCTCAGAAGCCAGAACAGCAAGAGGGATCGCTGCGCAGTGAAAGCAGCAATCCCTCTTGCTGTTCTGGCTTCTGTGATAGCTGCGCAGCCTGCATTCGCTCCATAAGACACACACATATTTCCCCTTACCTTTTAGGAGGGAAAAAGTGAGTCTTATAGAGCAAAAAATACGGTAAATGCTTAAGGTAAGCAACGATACACCTAGCAAAAGCTTAGGGCTATCAATGAAATCTTCATTAAATTATGCAAGTACTGATTAAAAACCCCCACAAGATTTACACATTATACATGTGCATATTTCATCAGCTGCCATCTTTGAAGAGTTACCTTGTGAGAGAAAGCAACTGGGGAACAGCACTTCTAAGATGCCATTGGCTTATATTTGTATGTAATAGTATCATAAATCTGGGTTTAGGTGCCTGTTTGCATGCTTTCAAGCATAGCTTCATAGACATAAGGACTGGAGACATGCTATTTAAAAAAACACCACCCCCATGAAAGTTGAGACGCTCAGGATGTTTAAAGTTGTGCATAAGACCAAATTATATGCTTTTATCACCGCACACAGAGTGCTCTGAACGCAGTGTGCATGATGGGTTTTTTCATGTTCTGGTTTGCTTTTGTTGTTTGCTTTTAAAGAATTGCATTCTGCTGGCGAATGCCATGACTGTCAAAAACCTCAGACTGAGAAGCATGGAGTAAGAGAAAAATCATACAACACAAAACTGTGGCCAAGTCCACCTTGCCGCACTTGGTGGTGGCACATGGTACTGGCACACCATGACTGGGGATTTAGGAGCCAGCATGTGAAAAGCCTTAAATCTGCAATCCAAAAAAAATTCAAATTCTGCAGTGGACTACGTTATGCAAGAAGGCATGTGTTTATTTAAAATGCCCATGAATCCATCATTTGTTGTGGCATTCTTAGGTTATCTTCTTGAATTATGGAAGGGAAAGGTACACAGAACACCAAGAGGCATATAAGAAGAGCAACTGAGCTGTGGTAAACAAAACAGTCTTGGGGATATAAACATTTTTCTGAAGTCTTACAAGCCACCAGCAAATGAGGCCAGAAGTATACATGGTTGCATATTATGAACTCCTGACCACCAGAACCAAATACATTCAAGATTCTGTAGCACTATGTGCAGATTCCGCATAGTACTCACTGCGCCTAAAATATGCGCTCCCAGCATCCTGTCTGTTGTTTTGTGACTTAGCATCTTCACCAAGCCGTCTGTGTCAGCGTTGGTCTTAGCTCGGCTGTTGGCAGCAAAAGGAAACTTGCCAATCTTGTATTCTACCCCCTAGAAAGCAAAAGACAGTTCTGAGAAGCTGGACATTATCTCCTGCACCTGGCAGAAAAACTAAAGTACGACTTCTCTGGCAGTTTGCTGCATCTGAGCTCCGAAAGGCCAAGTTAGGGAGGGGATGCTCACATCCTGCTCCGCACAAAAGTATTTCCTACATAGAAAACTAGGTGTCCAGGAGAGGGTTTTATCCTAGCCGCCTCCCAAACACAAATGTTTTGTGTGGAGAAGCATTCAGTCCTGGAGTTGCAACCCTGCCATCAGATGTAGTGCAGCCCAGTTTACATTTTCTTGAGGTCCGAAGAAGACATGACCATTGTAGATCCATGTACAGAAACTGCTGCAATTGCTTAAGAATATGGAGTGGGGAGTGGACACTTGATTTAAGGTAGTGGCGCTCTCAAAACAGCCCCTTTCCCCAAATTATTTTCTTTCCACTGGGGCTGCCGTAGCAGAACCTTACAGAAAAGCACTTGCTACTTTGGGACAAAAGGCAGGAAAACTGAAGAGCACTCAGAAGACACGTATGACACCACGTATGTAACATTCAGAACAGCAGCAGCATTGTTTCCAACATCCATGGGGTTCTCACTTCTGCAAGCTTTTAACAGTGGTTTGTTTCTGGGAGCAGGACTGAACGACATCTATGATTCCTAGCACCTGGCTTTGTGGACTCATGGCTGCTCTATAGCTATCTAAAACAATAACAATAACATCATGAAAGGCTCCCTCTCCTCTCCGCTATAAACAGAAACACTGACATTCAAGCACATAGTTGCTACTGCCAGATCCATTCTTCTACCCTTTGCTCCAAAAGAAATGCAAGTCCAGTTTGCACATCACATTTAGCTATGGCTAGCTTAGTGTTAACACACAAGCATTCAGGTACTCACAGTAAAAAAATAAATCACATTGCTCCACTCCTCTCCCCAGCTGTTCTGGTGCAGTGTTACTTGCCACTAAGGCACGGTTTGGTTTAGCTTTATGTCGGGACGCAGGCTGGTGGTTTGCCTCCCCTGAACAAACCATGGTTTAATGCAAAAGTTAAAAATAGATTTGAAAAGAAGACAGCACCTCAAATGATCCAAACAAAAAAGGAGAGCAGTGCTAACTGTTGCTGAACTCCAATGCCCTTTTAAAACATGTTGTAGAAAAGGGGGGGGTATTGGGTTCTTCTTGTCTTTGGTTTTATTTTGTTTTTTATGTTTTTATGTTGTGATTTTATGTGGCCAGACCTGGGGGAGGTATACAAATTTGATAGATAGATAATAATAATAATTCTTTAGTGAAGCTCAAAGCAGTTGAAAGCAAAAAATACCTTCAGGAGTCTGAAAAGTTCTTAAAATTCATGGGTTGTCTGGAGCAAGAGCCTGGGGTTTGGATGGTATTCTAAGCCAGCCTTTCTCAACCTGTGGGTCCCCAGATGTTGTTGAACTACAACTCCCATCATCCCTGAGCTCTGGCCTTGCTAGCTAGGGGTGATGGGAGTTGTAGTTCAACAACATCTGGGGAGCTCAGGGATGATGGGAGTTGTAGTCCAACAACATCTGGGGACCCACAGGTTGAGAACCACTGTTCTAAGCTAAGCTATGGTTTAACTCTGGGCAGCAGAACTACTGGGTGAGGAGCAAACTGGCCGAGATGTTTGCAGCAAGTACCTGCACAATCATTAAGTTCATGCTTAGCTGTGGTTTGGCTTAGTGACACATGCATACCAGGGCATAGACACACTGCTCTACTATGAGCGGACAGAAGAAACTCCGAATAGTACCTCTTCTTTCAGCTGTTCCTCCGATTTTCCAATCCAGGCAACTTCAGGATGTGTGTAAATGACCGAGGGCACACAGTTGTAGTCAATGTGAACTGCACCTCCAGCGATTCCTTCAACACACAAAATACCTTCATCTTCCGCTTTGTGAGCAAGCATCGGTCCAGCAACTACATCGCCAATAGCATAGATGCTGCCAAGTAAAGAAAAACAGGCAGATAGACATAAAAACATGCAGTGTAACAGTGTAACCCATTGTCCTGAATATACGTGGAAGAGGCTAAAAATTAAATAAAAAATACAATGAAGAGCCAAATCTATGATCTAATTTGAAACTTTTCATTTTTTAAGGTAAAATGACTTTGAGCTGCAGTCTCATTTTAACTCAAAGGTAAATGAAGGCCCAAGGCCAACGGGCTTGTTCTTGCCATCCTTTTCTAGCATATATTAATTATGATTGTAAGCAAGAGTAACACAAGCCAAAAGAGGAGATTGTTACAATCTGACACAGTATAAATATTCCTCCACTTAACCAATGCTCCCGCACTAAACTGCAACCAGCTTTTATACCCATCTTGCTAATACAACTGAATCTTAAATTTAAACTCAAAATAGCAACTCAGAAAAACACAATTTCCAACAGCCCAACAACCCATCTGATTACTTCACTTACTTTGGGACTTTGGTTTGGAATCTGTTGTTGATCGGGATTCTTCCCCTATTATCTAGTTCAATACCCACATCTTCCAGGCCAAGATTCTTAGTGAATGGGCGCCGCCCGATACAAACCAGAAGTACGTCACAAGTGATCACTTCTGCCTTGCCACCAGCAGCAGCTTCAATCCTGGGGGGAAAGGAGTAGGGCAGTCCTCATGAATAGAGAAGCAACATACTGCTAGTACACCTGTTGTCAATGAATCCCGATCACTCCTTTTTATCTAACAGTTATGGGTCGTTACACGGATAACATGTCAAGGCCCTGCAAAACCACAGCAATTTAAAGTTAAACCATACTAGATTTACACATTTTTACGTTCATGTCACAGTAAGTGACTACAGCAGTTCTCCAACAAACAGCTTAAAGGAATGTTATAATCATCTCATTAACTGTCACAACTACACCATGTCTATAATGAAAAGGTGGGATTGTCTCTTAACCCCCCCTTCGAATTGTTTCGACTACGCATTGTCCAGCTCTCTTCTGAATCTTGCCAGCTGTGCCACAAACAATACAATCAAACTGCATAGGAATTTTGTGAAATGCATAGAGTCTACACATCGAGAGTGTAACAAATGCAAGTTTAAACTTTGTGGTTTTTATCCAGCCACTTTAATTCTGAAGGATAAAACATGCAACTCATGTCAGATTTTGAACATGTGAACAGGATGCCAATGCCTATTACATTAGAAAAATTTCAATTTGTGCAGTGTAAGAGGCATAAGTAACTGTCATTATCCAAGATTAGCAGCTCCAAGAGGACTTGTCTGTGTTGTGTGTTTTTTTAAGCATGAACTAATGGATTACATCACCTATGTTTACCAGTTCCATCTGGTACGCAGGCTGAGACCCTATCTGCCGGCGGACTGCCTCGCCAGAGTGGTGTCGCTTGGACTACTGCAATGCGCTCTATGTGGGGCTACCTTTGAACTACAACTCCCGTATTTTTCGCCCTATAGGACGCACTTTTCCCCCTCCAAAAATGAAGGGGAAATCTGTGTGCGGACGCGAATGGGGCGAATGCAGGCTTTTGCTGAAGCTTGAAGAGCGAGAGGGGTCGGTGCGCACCGACCCCTCTCACTCTCCAGGCTTCAGGAAGCTATCAGCAAGCCTGGGGAGCCCGCAGGAGTTCCCACAGGGCTCCCTAGGCTGCGGATAGCAGCCTGCTGCACGGAGCACGGGGAGCACTGAAGCAGAGCGCCCCGCGCTTCGGGCAGACATCGGGCAGCCCCACAAGCTCGGGGGACAGCGGGGAGGCGCAGCGCCGTCATCCCGCTGTTCCCCGACCTGGTTTGGATTCCCCGACCTGGTTTTGGGGGGAAATAAAGGGGGGGGAATTTTCCTTTATTTCCCCCCAAAAAAACTAGGTGTGTCCTATGGACACCGGTGCGTCCTATGGGACGAAAAATACGGTAATCCAGAATGCGGCAGCCAGACTGGTGACTGGGAGCAGCCGCCAAGACCACATAACATTGGTCTTGAAAAACCTACATTGGCTCCCAGTATGTTTCCGAGCACAATTCAAAGTGTTGGTACTGACCTTTAAAGCCCTAAACGGCCTCGGTCCAGTATATCTGAAGGAGCGTCTCCACCCCCATCATTCTACCAGGACACTGAGGTCCAGCGCCGAGGGCCTTCTGGCGATTGCTCACTGCGAGAAGCCAAGTTACAGGGAACCAGGCAGAGGGCTTTCTTGGTAGTGGCACCCGCCCTGTGGAACGCCCTCCCACCAGATGTCAAAGAGAACAACAACTACCAGTGTGCCGTTTGCCTCCTAGGTGGGTCATAAGGAAAGGGTTAAAATGAGTGTGATGTGATTGGCCAGTGGAAACTGATAGGAGGAGTTAGAGTAGAGGCAGAGTTGTGTGGAAGTCAGTTGAGGGTTGGGGGTTGAAGAAGGAAGAGGGAGGAATAGTCTGTGGGTTGGTCGAGTTGTGTTGTGAGAGGAATTGTTAGATGGAGTCAGATAGATAGATAGTTGGGATAATCAGTTTGAAGTTGTTAGGAATGAATAGGACAGTTAAGGAACTAAGATTAAGAAACTGCCAAGCAAAATTAACTGTAACCATAAGCTTGTTCGTGCCTATAAAAATAAACTTGATTATTTGTTAATGTTAACAACTGACTGGACTCCGTGTGTACCCGTGAGGAGAAACGGGTTGCTGGCAGCGAAGAAAGCAATTACAGTGGTGGCACAGGGTCAATAGACCGTCAAACGTCCGGGGGCCCTGTGTGATCGCCACAACCAGACTTTTAGAAGACATCGAAAAGCAGCCCTGTTTAAGGAAGCTTTTAATGTTTGATGCATTACTGTATTTTAATATTTTGTTGGAAGCTGCCCAGAGTGGTTGGGGAAGCCCAGCCAGATGGGCGGGGTATAAATAATCAATTATTATTATTATTACTACTACTACTACTATGTCAGCAGTAGCTCTGCAGATGTTGGACTTCCAACATCCATCAACCCCATCCAGCCTAGCCAATGGTCAGCAGGGATATCCGGCCATGAGGCAGGGTGAATTAGTCGCCTCAGGCAGTGGGAGCACCGCCTGCAGAGAAACACCACTACTTCCAATGAGACTGCAGCAAAATCTCATGAGATCTCACTGGAACCTGTCACTTTACATTGCAGGTTATGGAGGCTTTGGCAGCAGCAGCACGTGGGAATGGAAACCCAACACAACACTTAAGACGGCACCACACTGGGCGACACTGAAAAAAAATCAATGAACCAGAATAACGTTATTTCAGTGGGTCTACTCCCTGAGCGTGACTCAGACAGATACAACCCAGTATATTTGATTCTATAATATACACTTTCCATGCCAAAAGCTACAATTCTGTAAACATGTTTCCAGAGATGAATCAGTCTCATATACAGTAATACCTCCGTGAACGTCCGCCTTGTCTAGCATCCATTCCGGCAAATGTCCGCAGCAAACCCGGAAGTACTGGAAAGGGTTACTTCCGGGTTTTCCGCTCACGCATGCGCAGAAGTGATAAATTGCGCTTTGCGCATAAGCACAAACCGCTCTGCGCACGTTCACAGATGTGGCGCTTTGCCATGCGTCCTTTTCGGCTAGTGGCTGGCGCTCCGGAACGGATCCCGGCCGCAAAATGAAGTACAACTGTATATAGATGCCAGTAATTCCACCACTCCCTTGATCCCAAGTCCAATCTGGGGCTAATTTAGGTTTTATAAAGAGAAGACAACCAGTTTCTTTAAGTTACATATTTACATAGTTGCGTACATACTTACGAAACATCAATCTTTCCATCGGGTCTCTTGGTAGCACCGGTAACTTTAGTATTCAGTTTAAATTTAAAGCCTTGCTTCTGGAGAATACGCTGGAAGTTCTTAGATATCTCCATATCAATACCCAATCCACCTACGTGGCCCAAGAACTCCACAGCTGTCACATCTGCACCGAGACGCTGCCAGACTGAACCCTGCGATGTAAACAAGCCCATTTTTACTTTAATTTTTTTTTTTAAAAAAGGGAGGGAGTGATTTTATAGCTCCTGTGTATTGCTTTTGCTACAAATTCATTTGACTAATGGCAACCATGGAAGATTAAACTCCACCAGAAATCTTTAAACAGCCCGGGAATGTTTTGTAATCTTTTGCACAACGCCTGCTACACTTTCATGACAATTTCACTGACCGATAAATTTCCTTAACTAGGAACACAATAAACCAGGAATGGGGAACCTGTGGTCCTCCAGAGGTTATTGGATTCTAACTCCCATCACCTGAGTCCATTGGCCATAATAGCTGGGGCTGATGGGAGTTGGGAGTTCAACATCTTCTGGAGGGAAACTTCCAACTGGCTGGGAGCCACAGCTCCCAAACTGGAGGATTCCCAATAGGTCTTGGAATAACAGCAGAATTTTTAATTGTAATTCAAAGGCTTCCAGTCCTGCAGAAGCCCTGCTATATACCAGCCCTGTGCAAATATTCACTAAGCCCCATGTGTTCGATCGTGCAAGCATGCAAGGCTGCAAACCAGAACGGCCTAGAAATAAAGCCGGGGTGGTGTGGCACCTCCACATGCCAGTGAACAGAGAGCTGCTGCTATTTGCACAATTGCTGCCATATGGAAAACTATTTCTGCGATTGCAAGAGTCATAACAGCCGTATAAGCAGCCCCTATAGAAGGGCACTGGTTTATTCAACCCACGTTTCCTTAGTACCTTGACTGGTTTGTGTGACTCCCGACAGCCCAATAGACCCCTACAGGCAACTGCATGAGGCCCAGAAATATTTTTTCGCATGTCAACTAGGAATGTTAAAAGGAGGTAGAACGCTTCTTACCAGTTCCACACCAATGACTCCTGCACCGATGACCACCATTTTTTCAGGGACTTGCTTCAAAGAAAGAGCCCCCGTGGATGATACAACCGTATCCTCATCAATCTAAACAAAAGAAAAACAATTTCCCCCAAATATGAGACTTTTGCATAAAAGCATACACTGTGTATAAAATGCCAACATTTTTTTCAAGGTTGTATGTAAGACAACAGCCATACCACTATTAACACACCCAATTTCCTCTGATCCCAGAAGTGAATATTTAACAGCTACCACACCATGGGGTGTTTAGCCTATTTGTAATTGCAAACGGGATTTGTTGCACAATATATATTTGAGCTAGTTTGCATGTTGCAAACACCTCTGGCCATAAGCAAGAAAAGTTTGACCTGGCCTAATTATGGTTTCTCTGAACTTAACCATGGTTTAATTCAGGGCAGCAAACCACCATTTGAAACCATGTTTTGCTGCTGGCTTACAAATCTTGGCTTCCTATCAAGTGTGGTTTGCTATTACATTTGAACTCGGAAGCCTGGCTTAACCCTTGTTGTTTTGGTGCACTATTCTTGCCATTCAACTAGTTACATCAGCACAGGACAGAAGCAGCTAGAAAATGAAACCAACTCTCGATGGCACTTTTCCAGAAATGATCCTCTTCATTCTGGATTGTATACAACGTTAGTCACACAGAGGAGACCCCCTGAATGGAATGGGCAGAACTAACTTGGGCCTTTTAATTTCAATGGACTTAAGTGGATACAACTCTTTGCCTAGCAACAGGCTCCCTTCATCACACAAGCCCTCCTGTCTACCTTTGCTGTAGCTGTGCAAGGTGAAGGGACCTCAGCCTAATTTGCCAGCACATGCAACTCAAGTCCTAGCAAACTAGCATGATTCTTACACCTATGGAAGGTAACATAAATAACACTGGAAACAGAAGCAACAAAGACTACTAATGTTCCTATTTGACAGCCCTGTCGCTGGAAAATTATAACTTGTTACTGCAACATATTAAAAGACCAAACAACGGCACCTGAGAGCTATCTGTTGCAGGGGTAGAAAAGGGTTAAGAATTTCTGATCCCAAGATGAAGGTGATGGACTATATGGAATTGGCGGAAATGACTGGCAGAATCCGAGACCAGGGAGAAGAGTCGGTGAAAGAAGATTGGAAGAAATTTAAAGTCTACTTACAGAAATATTGTAAAATTAATGAATGATAGAATGATGTTGGATAGTAACTAAGTGGTTTCTAGCTGTAATGCTTTAAGAATATGGGAAAAAGGGTTATAAATGGGTTAAAATCTAATGGTAAGGATTTGCTGAACCAATAAATTGAAGTGGAATACAAAAAAGGGAGGTACGAGGAGGTCCGGGAAACAAGCTAAAGGAAAATAAGTAACTGGAAATATGTGTTTTTAATTGTTTTTATTTTGTATTTTTCTCTTTTCTTTTTCATTTTTACTGTAATATTTCAAAAAACCTAATAAATATCTTATATAAAAAAAAAGAATTTCTGATCCCAATACAATGTTAGGCATGTATCTGATTGAGGGCAGGGAGAGGGAGGAAGATTTCTTGACTCAGGGCATGCCAAGCACAGCTGAAAATTTGGGTTTGCTGGCCCGTTTTTGCAGTCAATCAATGGCAAGTAAGCAGTGAGCACACCAGTAAAAAAGTTTAAAAATCAAGTCATACCGTAATTCCCGGGAAAGGTGTTACTTCTGAGCCAGTGGCTATGAGGATGTTCTTTGTATTAATGACCTGAGTGCTGCCGTCATCTTTCGTTGCGGTGACCTGGTTTTTGCCAGTTATTTTTCCAAACCCAGAAACATGTGTCACCTTCAAAAAAGAAAGCTCTTGTTAAACAAAATTAACTAAGAAACATTTCAGGTTGCAGTAATGTTATTCTTTACCCTGTTTAAAAGGAGGCACTGAAATCTGATACACAGAGGCTGATGGAGTAAAAAGCTTTTTCTATTTTTTGTGACACAGGGCACACATGAGATGTTTCAGTTTTTTATTGTGGCACACACTAGTGTTTTTAATCTAAGCAAACAACTCTTTAAGTTTCCGTGCATTTAATGAGTACAACTTTATCCTATCAGCATGCGGGTCCCAGTGATTCCCAAGAACACCCAAGAGGATGCCAGCCAGCCACCTGTTTTTAAAAGTGTGAAGAAAGTATATAAATCAGTATATTCACTTTGAAAAGAAGCTTGGCCTACATATGAAGCAGATTAGATGGCTGGCAAGCCTTTAAAGAACGGGGGAAACTGTAAACAGCACACATATTGATGGGGCTTCCACCTTCAGCAGTTGCTAGTGGATATGCAGCCCATGATATCCTAACCAAGTCAAGAAAACTTCATCCTGTGGTTCTTTGGGGATGTATTTGACCATGTTCAGACTATATATCTGAGCAAAAGGAGTTAATTATTGCTCTGTCTTCTCTCGCCAAGAACTATCAGTTTAGATTTGAAGACGGGATTAAAACCACTAATCTCTGGGCAATAGCCAACGTGAATCACCCTCAGGCAACATCCATCAATTTCAATGGGTCCACTCCCTGTAAATTGGGCTGCCGTCCTGGCAACCAAAAAGCGGCAACTTACACCAGCATCAACTTCTAAAGCGACTAAGAAATGGCCAGGAATAGCGCAAGCAGTAAACTGCTTTTGGTTCAGAATCCAGACGTACCTTGTTCTGTTTAAACAAGTGAGCAATGCCCCCTGTTAAGGCCTTGACTGCACCACTTTTCTGCTCCATCATCTTCTCTAAATTCAATTTGAGTCCTGTAACTATATAAATATGTGCAAACATAACAAAGTCTTTATTTTTGCAGACCTAAGCACATGGCAAAGTTCTTACAGTTCTATTAGATGCACTATTATTCCAAGCTTTTAGTGGAAGATGTATCCTTTATGCTGCTGGTGATATCTTAATTGCTTTTTTACTGATAGACTATTCTGTAACATTTTGGACTTAGTAATTTTAATTTGTTTTACTTTTCATTTGTTAACTACCTTGAAAGCACTATTAAAAGGGGGGAATACAAATGTCTTGAATAATAAAACAATGTTCAGTTTATTTATCATTTCAATTTATCCATTTAAAAGGTGTCTCTGATTTTTCTTAAATAAAGCCCTCCTCCCCTTTCCTTCACATAGGAGAGCATGCCTCTTCTAAGAAGATGCCTGTTGCAAGAAACGTTTAAAATGTTAGGGTTATTTCTGTGAATTCAGAAGACAGGTTAATACATACAGCATGGCATGGTGACTAAAAGAAAGAGAAGCAGACCTATAAAATTGGCTTAAATATATATTTTCTAATGATTTAAGTTTGCTTAGATCAGAATCAAGACCATAGCCATGGAATGACCTGACTCTTTCAGGCTGCTTCCCTGAATTTTTAGCTTTCATTTAGAACAAAACTGAAAGGCAAGGCTTCAAAAGCCAAAGAACATTCTGCTTTTTCATGCAGAGGGTGGAAGAACATTGCTTATTCTCCCACCTGCTCTAAATCAAGCAGTGATTTATCAAATCCCACCCACAGGAGCAGCTTGGGGAACGGAACACAGGGCTGCACCAGGAAGCATGTGAAAGCCCTGCTGTGCGCAAGGAATGTTAAGCACAATTCTTTCTATCAAAATTTAAGTCTTTTGCCCTTTCCTCTACAGACAAGAGCAACTCGCGGACAATATTCTACCCAGTAGCTTAGACCAAAGTAATGTACAGGTTTCCAGCTAAGTATTGGCCTGGCAAGTTTCTGGAGATATATAATTTTAATTTAATTAACATTATTTAATGCACTGCATCCTGTTAAATATGCAGAGTAGACTCCCTATACTTAGGGCTTTACACTATCTTAAGAGGATGCAGCAGTCTAACCCAATATCCAATCCCATAAATTATCTCACTATGCACTAGGCACAGCAGAACCAGGATATTCGGAATGTCAACAGATGGTATTTCATACTTACCCTCGATTCCTCTACTAGCAAAATCTTTTCCATGGGCCAAATGATACAGGTGTGAATTGTTCAGTAAGGCCTGAAACATAAAACAAAATTAAACTAAGCATGTAATTTCCACAGGGGATATTGTACTAAAAGATTACAGTGGTGCCCCGCAAGACGAATGCCTCGCAAGACGGAAAAACCGCTAGACGAAAGGGTTTTCCGTTTTGGAGTTGCTTCGCAGGACGAATTCCCCTATGGGCTTGCTTCGCAAGACGAAAATGTCTTGCGAGTCTTGAAATTTTTTTTTCGCTTTCCCCCCCCTTTATCTAATCTGCTAAGCCTTTAATAGCCTTTAATAGCCTTTTAGCAGCTAATCCCCTAAGCCTTTAAGCCTTTAATAGCCGCTAAACCGCTAATAGCGCTAATCTGTCAATGGGCTTGCTTCGCATGACGAAAAAACCGCTAGACGAAGACTCTCGCGGAACGGATTAATTTCGTCTTGCGAGGCACCACTGTACTGAAGTTCAGGAGTGGCTAACCTGCAGCCTTCCAGATATCGTTGGACTGACGGGGGCTGATGGGAGTTGGAGTCCAACAACATTTGGATGAGCATGGGTTAAGTCACCCTTGCTATAGTATGACATCACTACTATTTATCCTAAGATCAGAATGAAGTAATTTCACATTGCTTTTCAGGAAAACACCACCATGTTCAGCACTTGATGCCTGCAGTATCAAGTGAATGAATGAATGGAAGTCTGAATGGACTACATAAGTTTCCACAAAGAACTTCCTAATCAATTCACATTATCTCAAATGCAATGTTATTCAAGGGAGTCAGTTCACACAATCAGCTGCTTGCCATGAAGTAATCAAGTGACATAGGTGCATGTGTGAACCAATGCTCCAATGATACATCTTTGTAACTTTCGTGGGTCGGCAAACTAAGGTCTGCGGGCCGGATCAGGCCCAACTGCCTTCTAGATCCGGCCCGTGGACGGTCTGGGAATCCAGGCAGCCGGCATAGCGCGCACACGATGGTTTTTGCAACTCAGCCAGCCTTGGGGGTCAAAATGAGGCGGACAGCTGCTCGAGACAAGCCCCTTTTCCGTTCGTCACACCCGCACAGCAATCTTTTCTTCCGGGGTGGGGGATGGGGAAGAGGGAAAAGGAGCCCCAGTTTGGATTTCCACCATGGAGCTGCCAGTGACTGACTTCAGGAAGGGCGGTTATGGCGGCAGGGGCTCAGTGGTGCCTCGGGAGTGGCGCTCGCCAGTGTCTGTGGCGGCGGTGCTTCCTGCCGGAGGAAGCGGGGAGAGCCTCAGTGGCTGAACTCCGAAGCAGTTCTGTGCCCTGCTGGGGAGGCCACTCATTAGCTACATGGAAAAGTAAACAGCCACTGCCTCGTCTTCCCTCACATGGGGAAAAGAACACTTTTGCTTGAGCGGCGCTGGCCTGACTTAGCGTAGCCAACGGCTTTTCCCTTGACCCACGCATGCGCACACGCTCTCCAGAGCTGACAGGAATGGTGCGCTTACCTCAGCCCCCAGCCCCCACTATGAGAGAAATAATAACTGTCAACACGTAAAGGAAGCAGTGTGGGTGTATGAGGGAACACCCCCTCCCCACCAAAAAATACACACATTTGGGCAATGTTTGGGTTGGTCCCAATAAGGGTTTTTGCCAAGAATGCAGGTCATAATCATGGCAACATATAGTGCAGCCCCCCACAAGGTCTGAGGGACAGTGGACTGGCCCCCTGCTGAAAAAGTTTGCTGACCCCTGAGCTGGACACCTAAAAGCAAGTCACTTTCACAAAATCATCAGGAATTAATCAACAACACAAAGGAGCAATATCAACTCAGCAGCAGCATAAGGTTAGTGTTTGGCATTAATTCTACCCAATTAGTTGGGAAGTCACAAAGATGCTCAAAGAAAATGATACTTCAGATTCCAGAATAAAAAGACAACTACTTTCTTTGTATCATATTTCTCCTGTGGACATTCTATGTCTAATTCCAGAAGTAAAGCTGTGCACTTTTTTTTTTTGCTGGCCGTGGATCACCTAATAAACTTGTTTGGTTCTATAAATAAAAGCACATACATAACTGAGATTTTAATAAGTGTAGTCTTACCTCTACAGGTAAATTTAAAGTGGGGGGGGGAAAATATTAGACAGCACCAGTGCCATATTATGAAAATTGAAGCCTTAGTAGAAAGCCTCATTAGCCTGCTCTTTAATCTGACCATGATCAAAACAGCCAAACCTCCACTGTCAGAAAAATAATAATCAAGTGTAGGGTCAAATACTGTTCCACGACCTATCAGGCATGCTGCATGAATGGAACTCACAGACCACCAGTGATCTGCAGACTATAGTTTAAGAACATCTGGTCTAGAGTATACCTGGCTGGATGCATCATGCACAGCAGCCAAACCCAGCCTCCAAGGCATAGATTAAATAAAATAGTATTTATTTATCTTATATATTTGTATTTTGTATTTGTTAGTAGTTAGCTGCTGCTTGTTAGGCCCCATGATTAAATCTTGATGGCCAGGTTGACTTAAATAACAAATGTGCTGGCAAAGAACTGACTACCAGATCCTGGCAACAACCAGCCATTTAAGGTGAAACCGCTTTTCCTTTCTTCTGCTGAGGAGGATATAATCCCATTAAAAACTGAATACTAATATCTGTTACATTTCCACCCTGCCTTTCCTCCAAGGGCTTCAGGTACCTGATTCTCCCACATCCATTTAATCCTCACAGCTACAATTCACGTAAGGTCACTCTTGAGTTTCCATGCTCAGCCTCTCTGTCCTAATTATGGTCTGACACACTAGCCAACACACCAAAGGGACTGCAAAACGACAATTCATGACTTCTCATACTGTGGGACCGTATTGGCTGTGAGTCCTGGAAGACCTGCTCCCTGCCTTTTCCCACTTGGCCTGACTGACTCCAACAACAAAAGCTGAGGCTGCTGAACAGACTCTTGGGTAGGGCTACTGTTTAGGAGTTCTTGTTGCTGTTATTGATATTGAATTTTTTTGTATCTTTATTTTTAGATCTTCTATTAATTATGTGGAATTTTTTTCAGTTCAGCTGTATACAGGGCCATTTTTGGCAGAGGGGGTGGCCAAAGTTGTTGAGCTTTTTTTAGGGGGGCAGCTCGTTTTTGAGCTTTTGAGGGGCACGCAACTCTCTCCCATGCCACTGTGGGGAGGGAGGAAAGCTGCACCAATCCAGGCACGCAGGAGGGCGGAGCCGACTGGCTACCTCAGTGCCCGCAGCAGAAAAGCCTGCGACGTTCCAATGGGCTCTGCTCCGCTTGGTGGTGGCTGTCGGCTGGCCTGGCTCTTCAATCCCGGACTCCAAATCTCAGCCCTGGACTCTCGCCCTGTCGCCCCTGAGAGCCTGGTGCCTGAGTGCCCTGCACCCCAGGGTTTATGGGTAAGCCAGCCCTGGCTGTGTACTTTTTGAAGAGCTTTATTTATTTATGACTACTTCTGTTATGCTTGTGATTATATAAATCTTTTCTTGGCTTTAACTATGGAAAGGCAGCATGCAAATAAAATGATGATGACAACGATTTGATTAAGTATTTTCCCACCATGAAGCTGATGAGCCCCAGTAGAACTTCTGTGCAAAAATGAATGTAGATGTTCCTCCAATCTAGATACAGCACAAGGTGAGAACTAAAAACTGTACCTACCTTAGAAGGTATGCATCCCACATTCAGACAGGTCCCTCCTAGTGTTGCATTCTTCTCCACACAGACAGTCTAAGAATTAAAAGGAGAAGGAATTTTCATAAAACAGTCTCCCCTCCATAGATCAAACAGGCCACAATGGGTTCCTACACTTTTATTTTCAAACAATTCATTCTTTTTTCTTTCTTTTTTTAGAATACTCCTATAAGCGTTTTTTCTAACAGCAAAACGCTCATTTCGTTAGACAGCTCCCATTGTTCCTAACCAATGGCTATTCTGACCAGGGCTGATCAGAGTTGGATTGCAACAACATCTAGCGACTCATAAGTTCTCCATCACTGCTAGAGAGAAACAGAGCATCACAGATCTCCTTCTGAAGAAATGTCTGATACAACCTTATCTGATTCAAAGACACCATTATTGTCTACTAGACTGGTACCTCGGGTTAAGTACTTAATTCGTTCTGGAGGTCCCTTCTTAACCTGAAACGGTTCTTAACCTGAAGCACCACTTTAGCTAATGGGGTCTCCTGCTGCTGCTGCGCCGCCGGAGCACGATTTCTGTTCTCATCCTGAAGCAAAGTTCTTAACTCGAGGTACTACTTCCGGGTTAGCGGAGTCTGTAATCTGAAGCGTATGTAACCCAAGGTACCACTGTACATAATAAAAGCCACATCTCTATATGAAAGAGACACACTGCTGAAGAGTTTATTCTTAAAGCTTTTATTTCAAAATCAGCCTGCTATAATGTGTATTCTCTATTTATTAGATGTATCTGGCATATTTAGCCTCCTTCTATCTGTGCCAAGTGAAGTCTGCACATTACCTTTCCAATGTGATGCAGCTTTTGTTCAACAAACAACTCTTTCCCCCAAGTTTGTATAGCAGGTTCTTTAGACTGCAGGCAATTCAGAAGATCACAAGGGATCCTGCTGGATCAGGCAAATGTCCCATCTAGTTGAGCTTTATCACAGTGGCCAACCAGATGCTGATGGGAAACCCGTAAGACCCAAAAGCGCTCTCTCCCTTTCAGTTTCCAGTAACTGGTATTCAAAAGCATACTGCTTCTAACAGGTAGTCTTGCCCTCAATGAAATTGCCTAATCCAGGCATAAGCAAACTCAGACCTCCAGATGTTTTGGGACTACAACTCCCATCATCCCTAGCTAACAGGACCAGTGGTCAGGGGTGATGGGAGTTGTAGTCCCAAAGCATCTGGAGGACCGAGTTTGCCTATGCCTGGAATCCTCTTTTAAAGCCATCCAATTTACATCTTCAAGATACAGACGGCAAAGCTACAAATGGTCGTCTTCCTTTTGACTTAATTGCAAGAACCACAACTGCAAGATTATCTGCGCCACGGCTACATTATGTGATTCTTCTCAACCTGTTTCCTTACCTTAAAACCAAGTTGAGCAGCTTTGATTGCTGCAACATACCCTCCAGGGCCAGATCCAATGACAGTAACATCGGCATCAACTGACAGAAAAAGATGTCAGATGTTTATAAGATGTGGAAGATGTAAGAAAATATTTTACATTAAAAATTTTTCCAGTCAAATATTTCAGACAGAAAAAGAGATCACACAGGGTTGTGTGATCCATTGAAGCAGATCCACTGAAATCAACGAACATGACTAAGTCCCTTTTTTTCAGTGGGTCTGCCCAGAGTATGTTTCTTGGATACAATCCCTCTACCTATTCTTTAAAATGGGAGAAAGCAATGCAATTCTTTCCATTTAAAAAGAAGAAAGTTTCTGAACATGTACCAGTGCTGCATTAATTTTGATTGGAATGCAATCAAAGTCCATTTGCATGTGTTCCAATGCAATTAATTGCACATACTTAAGAGATGTATGAGGACATTTACATGATTACATATTTATTAAAATTATTTATATACTGGCTTAAAACCAGAAGTTACCAAGACAGTGTACAACATAATAATGCAAGATAGTCCACTAAAAGATATTTCAGTAAAAAAAAGCCTACAGGCACAATAACAACTGATACAACAATCCAAGTAAGCAATCTGACCGATCAGTCTTCCATGGCTACAGAATTGTTATTTATCATCATCTTTTTTATTATAGCTAAAATCACAAAAATACATCGGTAAGCTTGAAGTATTGTAACACAATGTTTGTGGTATCTCAGCTGTATTTTCCTCTTAAATACATGGAAAAGGGGCCTGATCCTTTCCAGTCACTACTTCCATGTATCTTGAAGGAAAACAATTTTTTTTTTTTGCTCTTCTGGAATCTGCATTGCTACCACAAAAAATGTGGAGAAGCAATCTTCATGTGTTGGTCAGGCAACGATGCAACTTTTCACAATGTAGTAACATCTTAATAATCCTGAGGAACATCACATAGGCAGAAATGGCGAAACAATGACCCAAAATATTTAAATGTACAGTTTGATGTGGCTATTGAATGTATTGTTTAAAGTTACATAATATTTACCTTGGTCAGCATAGGTTCTTAAAGGCACTACAGAAATGCCTTGTAAGCCAGGCTGGATCCGGTTAAAATGGTTTCTCTGATTTGAAAAACAATAAGAAATAAATTTATGTTCTCCATTAAGGATAGTTTATGTATTAAAGAAACAAACAAATTGTTACAGGATTAACTAAACTCATTAAAATTCAAAATTCATTTTAAAACCTTCACTTGTACTCCCACTTTAGTTCCTAAGGAATCATACTTTCTATGGGTCATTTCCTTCTTCAGATCCTCAATATCTGTATTTACCATTTGAAACAACTAGGGTGGGGTGGAAATTATCACAGTGTATTGGTAAAAACCCTGCCTCACTTGTGTGATTTCTGCACACTAAGGAACACTTTTGTTTACTATGCATCATTAGCTGCTGGAGTTAGAAAAATAAATGTTGGGAAAGTTCCACTGAAATCTATTTTAATGAGCACCTGTTCTGAACACTGCCTTTCACTGCTGATAGGAGGTGGCAAAGTCTATGTACAGATAAATCCACAAGTCAACACTTCCTCACTTCTTTTTGACCTCTGACTTATTAGAAAATACAAAGACTGACAACTTTTGAACACCAAAGGTCTCTGTGGAGGATGCAAAAGGCCTCGCAGACCGCCTGGCATCTCTTATCATACTCTCTAGTGCAGAACAGCTAACAAAATATGTCCTTTATTTCAGAATACGACAGAAGAAGAGCCTCTTCTTTTTGAATTCTCCTCCTAGAAAAGTCAAAGGAATAAGCCTCTCTACCAGGCTCAGACGCAGATTCCATAAAAAGAAACAAATAATGCAAAGTAGAATTAAGTAGATCAAAGGATTGCCAAGTCAAAGGAGGCTTCTTGTTTGTTTTTTTAAGAGATGGTAAGAATAAATTTGCAGGAAGCTGCTGCAATCCCCCTCTTACCAGCCCATGTTTCTTGCTTAGGTTTGCTACAACCACATACAAAGATGCCAAGCCCATTCACCACCCACTAGCACAGGCAGCATGGCTTGGTGGTCAAAACAGTAGCAGAGTCCTCCTTGCCTCTCTCAAACTACCCTGACACCTTCTCCTCAGCTAAGGGGGAACTTAAAACCCACCCCAGCAGAGAGAGAAGCAGCAGCATATACCGTATTTTTCACTCCATAAGACACACTTTTTTCCTCTTAAAAACTAAGGGGAAAATGTCTGTGCGTCTTATGGAGCGAATGTGGGGTCCCTGGAGCTAAATTGCCAGAGTGCGGCACGCTCCCGAGCCGCTCCTTGGGGCTGGCGGGGGAAACCCGGGCTTCCCCAGTCAGCCAGTCCTGACAGCGCTCCCTCTAGCTGTTCTAGCTTCTGCCTTAGCGGCGTGAAGCCTCCGCAGGGCAGCGGGGAGCCTTCATCCCGCTGCCCTGCAGAGGCTTCTCGCGGCTATCCCTGGCTTTTGTGGGAGGTGGGGGAAGGGACAGAGCACGTGGCTCTGTCCCTTCTGCCACCTCCTGCAAAAGTCCCCAAGAGCCGTGCTCCCTTTAAAGAGCGTGCGGCTCTTGCAGGAGGTGGGGGGAAAGCCAGGAGGGCAAGAGAGATCGGTGCGCACCGATCCCGCTTGCTCTCCTGGCTTCAGGGATAGCCCCGCAAAGCCTCCTGAGCGAAGAGGGAGGAGCGTTCCCTCTTAGCTTAGGATGCTTTGCATTGCTTTCTTATTTCTTGTTTTCCTCCCCTAAAAACTAAGAGCATCTTATGGTCCGGTGCGTCTAATAGAGCGAAAAATACGGTATACTGCAGCCTACACTAGATGCAAGGTGCAATACACCTGCTGGGATAGCTCAGTCAGTACAGCATGAGACTCTTAAACCTTAGGGTCATGGGTTCGAGCCCCCCATTCGGCAAAATATTCCTTCATTGCAGGGGGTCGGACTAGATGGCACTCATGGTCCAATTCCAACACTGCAATTCTATGAAATGGCCACCACAGCACTAACAGCTGTTGGGCTTTTGAAGTTTTGTGGCCTTCTCTCCTCTGCCCTGCCCCAACGCTCCATGTGCATAACAAGCTGGAAAGGGCAGCTTCGTCTTCTTGTTGAAATCCATCTGTCTCGGGAGGCAATTGAGTTGTGCATCTTTGGGGGTGAAATCAAACCAGTGGGACAGTTGCAGAGTTTTGTTGCTGCTCTGGAGCGGATGACAGCGTACAGTTGTTGTGTTGCTGCAGCGGCAATAAAAACTTCATAGCGGCGAATAAAACTTCTTATTCCTGCCCCAATAAAACAGCAAAGCTAATCAGGGTCCAGTATGGTTTCAAACTGGATTTTTTTTTGGGAGGGGGGAGCTGCAAGTTGAGATTCTTACATTACAGAGAATTGGATTTAGATGACTCTCCAGATCTCTTGCAACTCTACGATTCCATGATAAAGGAACACACAAAAATTGTCTTACACCAAACAGTGTTTGGTCTGGGATGGCTAAATTGGTAGAGCAAGTGATGCTCCAGCTCAGGGCAGTGGGTTCGAGCCCCACGTTGGGCAAAAGATTCCTGTAGTGCAGGGGGTTGGACTAGATGCTATGCCCTTTTAAAATATGGCTCTTTGTGGGGTGTTACTGGGTTGTTGTTTTTATTTTGATTATATCTGTTGTGGCTTTATATGTTGACCTTGTTCTGTGAGCCGCCCTGAGACCTTCGGGTAGAGGGCGGTATATAAATTAACTGAATAAAATAAAATAAAAATAAGATGACCCCCGTGGTCCCTTTCCAACTCTGCAATTCAGACCATACGGGCTGATCACCGCCTAAAGCACAGCTCTTTCTTCGGCCTCAGGGCGCCCCACGTCGCCGCACTACGACCATCGGCCTCGGGGGCGGCGGGGAGGCTGTAGCCCCGACGGGACTCCCAAGGGGGGAGCACAGCGGCCGATTCCCCCTCACAGCCGCGACCCGGAGCGGCTTCCCGCCCGCGAAGCAGGTGCTCCGCCTCGGAGCTTCCCCTGTTGAACAGCTGCCTGCCAGAGGCGCCAAGACCCGACCGGGCCCAAGGTCGGAGCGCGGCCTCGCCGGGGCGTCGCCTGAGCTCCCGAGGCAGCGGTGAGGCCCGCCCCTCCTCCCCGCCCGCCCCCCTCCGGGCCGCCGCTACCTGGGCGAGAGCGCAGTAGACGCGGCTCCAGCTCTGCATGTCGGCCTCGTTCGGGCAGCGTCGCCGCCGCCTCAGCGCCAAGCACCTTCAAGGTTCGCCCTTCTCCGCCCGGCGCGCTCTCCGAGGCGGCTGCGGCGACGAGTCGCGCAGGCGCGCGGCGGGGAAGCGAAGCAGGCCTCCGCGCGAATGCCAGGTCCCGGAAAAGGGCACGCCGAGCGTGCCCACCCCACCCCCCTAGCGGAGGAGGTCTCCCGAGTGCAGCAGAAGTCCGCGCAGGCGCAGGAGGGGAACGTGAAGCCTCGCGCAGACGGCGGGTCCCGGAAAAGGGCACGCAGCGTACCCCCTAGCGGAGGAAGTCTCTTAGCGCAGCCCCGGCGCCAGCAACAGATGCTCGCGCAGGCGCGCGGCGGGAAAGCGAAGCCGCCGGCCTCTCGGCGAACGCCAGGTCCCGGAAAAGGGCACGCAGCGTGCCCCACCCTCCTAGCAGAGGAGGACGCCTAGCGCGGCTCGCGCAGGCGCACGAGGGGGACGTGAAGCCGGCGCCGCCCGAAGGGCAGCCCCCGCGGCGATAAGGCGCCTGGGATGCTGAGTGGGCCTTGCGCCTTCTAGAACGCCTAGAACTGTGGCGTTGCCGAGGAACCCATCGCAACCCTCTGCCATGCAGGAATCTCCCAAGGGACAATGTGGTTTAAGCGCGCGGCTCTGCACTTACATTTCAAGACGGATAGCCGTGTTAGCTTGTTGGCAGCGGGAAGAAAACAAAAGCGAGTCGAGGTTAACACGTGTATTAGTCACGTGTGGAAGGAGTCGAGGCATGCTTGCGCCCAGCAGCAGGAAACAAGCTAGGGTCCCTGGGCAATTAAGATACTAATTAAAATCTGCTGTGGTTTCAAGGCTGCAATCCTCTCTTCAGGAAGAAAGTTTTATTGCACGTACTGCATAGCTGTCAACTTTTCCCTTTTTTTAAGGGACATTCCCTTATTCCGAATAGGATTCCTCGCAAGAAAAGGGAAAAGTTGACCGCTATGGTACTGTGCGAGTAATAACTTCCTAGTAAACAACAGCTTCCAATGATTAACTGACCACTTAAGATACGAGGGAAAACACATCAAACACTATACTCCCAATTCACAGTCCAATACCTGAATAAACAGAAATATTTTAGCCTGGCAGCTTAAAGCAAACAATGATGGTATCAGGCATACTGGAGAGAGTATCGCACAAATGGAAAGCCACCTCTGAGATGGCCCATTCTCATGTTGCCACCCTCTGCACCTCCCTTAGAGAAGGCACACTGAGAAGGACCTCTGATAAGAAACAAAGAGGCTGGATCTACCTTGATCTGCTAAGCATTTTTTTAAAAAAAGTTTTATAAAGTTTAAAAGGAGTTTCCCATTGTCGCTGGCTCGCCGCAGAGCCGTCTGGTGTCACATTTTAATAATGCATTTATAACGTTTTAAATGATGAGTGTGGTTTAGTCCAGTGTCCAAGTAGGTTCATACAAGGAAAGGCAGCCCTTGTGGGACTGAGGTCCTGAACATAAAGCTTTGTAGGTTAAAATTAACACATCAAACTGAGAGCAGAAACTAATGGATAAGCAGACCTCATATCATTGCCTATTACCAACCACACACTTCAAAACTCCAAATGAACCACTCAGCATAAAAAGCAAGGGGGTTAAAATTATCATGAATACAACAAATGTGATTTTGTAAGAGACCTCAAAATATCCGCCTTTACATACATGGGGAAACTCCTCAAAGAGCGAAATAGATTTTCCGGTACTCATCTTTTAGTTATCTCAACATGACAGAGCCTTCCATAAGGTGGCAGCATATGCCAATTTCCAATATTCTTACTATCCCCTTGCTCACCTTTTAATAGCCAGAGACAAATTAGAATGCTGTGATTTAGTAGTCGGCAGGATATCAGGAAAAATACATGGGGATGGCAAGCCTATTAATTCCAGTAGTTTGTGAAGACACTTTATTAATGAAGAATTAACCCTGACTCAGTTCTGGCATAAGGCTTTATAGGTTAAAACCAGTACAGTGGTACCTCGGGTTACATACGCTTCAGGTTACATGCGCTTCAGGTTATAGGCTCCGCTAACCCAAAAATAGTACCTCGGGTTAAGAACTTTGCTTCAGGATAAGAACAGAAATTGTGCTCTGGTGGCGTGGCGGCAGCAGGAGGCCCCATTAGCTAAAGTGGTGCTTCAGGTTAAGAACAGTTTCAGGTTAAGAATGGACCTCCGGAACGAATTAAGTACTTAACCTGAGGTACCACTATACTTCGAATTGAACCCAGAAATGAATTGGTAGACAGTACAGTTATACAAGAATCAATGCTATGCCTTCAGATCGCCTCACCCCAGTCAGCAATTTTGCCACTCAATTCTACACTACCGACCTTGAATAGGATATGGTATAACTTAACACCAAAACCCAGCGTACCATCTGAGAGAGAGAGACTGCTAGTCTCCATGAGACTATATTTCCTTAGCCCCATGTCATGCACAGTTAATGCTCCCAAGGATGAACTTTGACGATAGGAAACTAGAGAGAAAAGGCTCTTTACACAGAATAGCCTGGCACGAGTGCACATTACTAACACTTCTCTGTTTAGAACCCTAATAAGTCCTTTGCCTTGAGACCCCAGGGACAAACTAAACAGTTACTTGTGCCCACTGTCAGGTCTATCCCTTGGTGGCTCCCCAAATAGGGCTGGCTCCTCTCTTGACTGGCAGTGATGCAGCACTTCAGATATCCGGTGACACAGAGGTGGACTGTTCCCTAGGCAACCCACTTGGTCCTTGCCCAGAATCCAAATCTTCGCTGCTCAAGCTGCCAGGGCCTTTCCCAGGATCAGGCTCCTCTCACAATTCCTGATCCCTGCACCCCAGCATGCTAGGACCTTCCCCTGGGTTGGACTCCAACTCCCCAAGCTCCTCCATTCCTTGTCTTCTGACCACATCTCTATGGGGCTCCGTACAGATTTCAAACATGCCTCTCAGAATGCCTCTCTTCTGTGCTACTGGAATGCACACAAGGAAGATGGAAATGCAATTTTAAAGGCCGTTGTAATAGGTGTCTTAATTCTATCAGATGACCAGGCATGAAAGTTGATTTTTCAACTGCATCGCACACTCCCTCTGTCACTACATGCATTCTAACTGAAGCGCATTTTGAGCTGTGTATAGTTAGGGATGACTCCCCCCCCGCCCCGTTTTCTCCTTTCCTTCCTGCAGAGAAGTGTGGAGGAAACCCATATTCAGCTTCACCATGACAGATTTCCTTCACCTTTCTTCTTCTTCTCTGCTGCCTATTAAAACCAACCCGGCTGTCAGAACTTCATTCATCCCCTTTCCCATTCTGCTACTGGTATTTCAAGGAGGTGGGTCGGTTGTGGGTTGGGGTTTTTCTTCAAAACAGCATGTGGGTCAGTTGTGGGTTGCGGTTTCCTCCAAAGCAGCATGTACAAGTGTGTCTGGCAATTGTGCATCAGAGCAAGTATATATGGCAATACTAGAAAAGGCCCTGCTGAGGCTGATAGGGTTTTCCAATCTCCTTGTGAGTTTTCCTGGAAAGCCACATTTAGGTGAGGGGCACAGTAAGGAAATGCAGTCGGTCAGGTTGAGCAGATACCTGTGAGGTTGCATCAAAGTAATATGGGCCAACATCCAGTTGGGTAGGTGGGGGAGGACTTTTTATTTAAATTGGGAGGGGGGGACCCCACGTTAGCTGGAGGAGAGCATGGTGACATTTAAAGTGGCCAAAGCGTCATGGTAAACTCCAAATGGTAGTAATCCAGATTCCCAAGCGATCGCTGAAATGTTTTCAAATGCACCTGTGATTTTTGGATCAAGCATCCTCTTACATCATCATCAAACCTTTTATTGGCATCACGTGCAAACATCCAAAGCAAATCAATACAGAATTACCACTTCCCCAGTGGCACAAAACATTTGCTAAAAGAAAGGAGGCAGAGCAGTCTATTGTCACATCTCTAGGTCTCCAGGGAGATCAGACGTCTGCAGTGTATTTCGACGACAAAAAACCAAATAGAGATATTTAGCCACTAACTTGGTGAGCTCCTGATCATTCCCCAGTAACAGAAAATGTATGACCTCTGACTCTGGTTTCCATTTGGGGATACAGAGTTGTTGATCTAGAAATTGCTGGCGGAGATCAGCATATAGTTTACAATTAAGAACTGTATGTGTAAGGGTTTCCACCAGGTGGTCTTCACATGGGCAAGTTCTTTCTCCTTCCACCCTGCCTGAGAACCTTCCCCAAAGGAGGTTTGATGGATTTGAATTAAACCTGGCCAGCGAAAATGCCCTTCTTTCTTGAGGGTTAAGCAGAAATTCAAGGTAATTGTGGTTAGTTTCATGTGCCCAAGAAAGTTGAAAATAAAGAGGGGAACATGTTTTCTCTGCTGCTACTGTTAGTTCTTGGCGTTCAATATCCCACAACCTAGTTTTGTTATAGCCTTGGCAGATGGTGGGGACATCGCTTGCAAAAGTTCCACTGACAGCCCGAGTTGCTGTACCTTCTTGTTAAACTGTTGTAGCCCTGGGGAAAGAAAGGGGTCTGACAAGACTTTGCTGAGGAGAGGATCTTTATCTGATGTAAGGCAGATGTTTAACCAACATAGAAGAAATCTCACCCAGGCAACAGTCTCTACCTTGTGTTGACCTCCCTCTAGACACAAGGCTACACAGCATGGGACAGTGAAAATCTTGAAGAGGAAAACTGCCTGCACTAGTTCTACCAACTGGGTAAACCTTGGCAGCCAGACTGGAATACCATAGAGCAATTGAGCTATAATTTTGGCGCTGAAGACTTTGAGGGCAGAGGGGATATGCGAATTACCTCTTGTTATGAAAAAACGCATTATGGCCTGCATAGACATCTTACTGGCATTCACCACCATTGCACAGTGTATGAACCAGAGAAGCCTATGATGGAATGTAATTCCCAGATAGTTGAATTTGAATTTCCCACCAAATACCCAGCTATAGCTCTTGCGCGAATTCCCAAAAACCATTATTTTGCTTTTGTCAAAGTTCATGCACAATTTCATTCTGGACAGATAGTCAATACAGGAGTTTAACAATAGCTTTAAACCAATTCTTGTCCGTGAAAGCAAAATCATATCATCTGCGTATAGGAGGATGAGAATGCTTGATGCGTTGAGTTTTGGGCCAGTGCTGAGTCAGACTTTATGATGCCAAATCACTGCTGTTGAGTCATA